CGTAGAACTCACTTCGGAACTCGACAATGCTACGACCTTCTGTAGCTTGACCTCCAGTGAATGAGTACACCTTCGAGAAAAGTCATCATGGACGTGACTGATCTTCTTGTTTCTTGTCTCCGGCCCAATCCGAATCCGAGAATACTTCCAATTTCCACGGTCCTTCGATCTTCTCTGGTCTCATCAAAAGTCCACGGTTCCTTGAGTCCAATACGTATTTTACGCGTAGCATTTCCTTGTACGTGCTGGCGTTGCGCATCCCAAGACCTTAGCTAGCCTCTCGTACCGCGTTCGAGATTTCTGGCCTTGAATGCTTGATAAGTACATGAGCATGCCTACTCCTGTTCGATATCTGCTCTTTTGTTCTTCAGCGATCCATCGCTCTGTTCGTCTGTCTTTACTATTCCGAGTCCAGGTGTTCCCGCAGTTTTGTACTTTGGTAGCTTCTGTACCTCCTCTCCGAATGTGGTTTGAATCTTCTTGATCATGTGGGGTGTCCCACCCATGCAGCATCCTTTCGGGGATCATCCGAATCTCACAGCTCAGGTAGTCCGTGAGTTCGTACTCTATGTATGTTCAAGCTCGATCTTTAATCCCTTGAACACTTCTTGATATCGTCTTCTCCTCCAATGGTGAGATTGTCATCCACGTAAAATAGAATCACGCATATCTTCCCATTCTTGTCCGCATGAAGAGGCATGGAACACTAGGACATGTAACGAATCCTAAGTTTTCCAGGACACTCCAAACTTCAAGTAGTACTGTCTGCGATGGCAAGCACCATAGATGGTCTTGTCCAGTATGACACATTCGTCTCTTGGTGTTCTAGTCTTTTGGGCAGTCCATGTAGATGACTACGTCCATGTTCCATGTAGGAATGCTTTCTCAATATCGAAGATAATTGCTTCGCTCTTCCCATCTTCTTTAGTAGTAGAATCAAGATGATGCGGAAAGGTGATGTCGTTAGCCACCGGACTGTAATGTTGTCAAAATCAATTCGGGTACCGACTGTAGCCGCAGGCCACCAAACTAGCTCTGAATCTTCCATTCCCGCTTGATTTCCAGCACCCATTTGTGTTTGACACTCGTTTCCCTTCCTCCATTCTTGATACTCTTGATCTTGCGCCAGGCCTTGAGTTTCTCCATCTTGTTTAGCTCGCCTTTGATCGCTCCCTCCACTTCTCTCGCTGAAATGTTCCGGGTGGTCCCAAGCTCCTCGAACGTGCTTGGCTTGGTGAACAGATAATTGTACTTTGCTGGATCTGAGTCCTTGGGTCATATCGAGAGTCTCTTGATCAATGGATGCCTGTCCTAGTCCTCCCGCAAATCTACTTCTGATGCCGTGTACCCAAACTCCATCCAGTCTTCATGTGCGTTTCCAAAACGTTCTGTCATTGGAATCGTCGAAAAGTTTGCCATTTCTGTCATTGGCAGTGATTCCGGTTGTTCGTGCTGAGCTGTGATCTTCTCTCCTCCTTCGGATGCATCGTCCAAAAGTGCTTGCATGAGGGAGCCCCCGTCATGAGGTTGTACGCCGCTAGCTTGTCCAGGTGTCTGTAGGGCCTGGGGGTTGTAGCTTGCACTAGTTTCTGTAGTTCCCGCTTTGCCTTGGATAGTATTGTGTCGCGACCGGGTCAGTTGGTTTGGCTGTTGGGATCGCAGAAACTTTATTAATCTTCTTGGGTTCTAGTGTGATTGCTCCTGCCTTGCTGTCTTCGTGGGCTTAAGGAGCAGGTCATGAGAGTTCGATTCCCGATTTTCTGTAGGTAGGACGTGAGGAGTTTATCTTTCAATATGTGATGTTCTTCTGCTGTGCTGGGGAGACCCATACCCTTCCATTCGGCATTCGTCTTGTCATCCAGATTCACATCGCGTGTGAGTACTTGTGCTCCTGTTGCGATATTGTACATCTTGTACGTGTCTGCACTGTGATTCCGTGCTCTTCCACGTACAGCATAGGTAATCCACGATCTTGTAGTTTTCCCTTGATCTTTACCAACAAACTTGACGTATCCAACTTCTCCGAATCGTCGCAACTTGGATAATTGTGGAATGTCTTCTCCATAGAACATGCGGTAGCTTGGATTGTCATGAGATGCTGACTGTAGTACATTCTCAACGTCAGTGACGTGCATGACTGCATCTCCGTAGAGAAACTTTCGTTGCTTCTCATCAAAACCGGCTTCGTGGAACATGGCCCGAATCCGATCGGTGCCTACTGCAATCCATCGTTCTACCTTTCCGTTCTGTTGAGGCGTATCTCGTCCAGTTAACTCAAACTTAACCCGTCTCAAACATGGTTCAATCGCGTTTTCACATTCCGTCATCAGCTTCTTGTTTTCTCCTGCATCGTCCATCCGGATGTAGTGTACTGGAGTGCCCCTGCGATCCATCACTCGAATGAAGTTTCTTGACTTTAAGGATGACATCGCGTTTGGTCTGAATGATCCTACTCCATCGCATACTGGTAGCATCATCAATGATCGCCAGCCAATACTTTCCTCCCTTGGTAGACGTGCCTTTCATCCACAGACGAGGTATCTATAAATATTCGTTCTCCAGGGATCTCTGATGTCGTTGAAGTCTCCTTGGCTACGGGTGCTTGCTTTGCTCGTCCTGCTCCACAGTGAGAACATGGTTCTAATGTCCCTGTGAGCTTCCACCCGTACTGATGTGCTGTCCTGCGTAGTGCGGCTTCACTCGCATGTCCCAGCTTCTTGTGGAGGTCATTGATTTTCCAGTACTTCACCTTACTTGGCTGTTCCGATTTGGGCGTATCCGCAGTGTCACTTGGCGAAGTCTCTTCAGTCGCTTCCAGTGCCGTGTCATCCGTGCACGCGTAACTGCTCTCTTGTGGCATGTCCTGTGGAAAGAGATCAATGCCGCAAAGATATCCGTCTTTGGTTGAGTTAATTTTATCAAAAACTATTCGTTGGTTGCGTTGCGTCAAGACAATCTTGGTTCCTTTATTCGAGATGCTCCAACCCTTCTGGATTGCCTTGACCAAACTAAATAAACATACACCCAGGTTGGGGACATACTTGTAATCCGACAGTGTCAAGTCATACGTCGTGCCATCACGTTGCATTGCCGTTAACTTGATCGTGCCTTTCTTTACTGCTCGGATCTTGTCTCCACTTCCAACCTTGATTCCTTCATCAATTTCTTCCACATCAGTCATTCCATCGTCCACATTGCCCATATGAGTTGATGCACCACTGTCTGCAATCCATGTGCTCCGGCTGAAACCTTCTCCTGACCTCATGGTGAACACATACTCATCCGCTTCTTTCATTACCTTGTACATCTGCCAGCGCTTCTTCCTTGCCTGTCGAACCTTCCGACTGCCACGCTTTAACTGAGCCACATTACGCGACGCTGTGGGAAGTATGGTAACTGACGGATGATCACCTGCATTCCTGTCTGCACGTTGGCGTCCACAAAGTGACTCACTTGTCCTTGTGTGACTAGGCCAGCATTCAGTAGCATGTCGATGCCGGGGGAGTTCTCGATCACGATCGGTGTCAGTCCATCTCGTTGGTACTGAAAAGTTGATGCGTCCAATCCTTGTAGTAACGTGGAATCTTGTGATACCATCGGTAGGGTGATCACTCCTGCAAAGTTCAAACGCACTTGCCAATAGTTTTGCCCGATCTTCTGCCATCCAGGTCCGTCCTTGGTATACTGACCCAACATAAACATCAAAAGCCCTTCCCACTTTCGTTCGCGGTGGCTCGCGCCTAGAATAGTTTGAGGGATGAGCTCGTCTCTGATCCCTACCAGTCGCCTGGACTGTGTCGTCCACTCCCAACAAGCATATGTCAGCAGCTCGCCCATTGGCTTTGCGACGCTGTTGTTCACGGTAAATGCGATCGGCTGCGACCCTTGGGATACCATAGTTCCGTAGGATAGAGTTCGCACTCGAAAATCTTCCTCTCCGAGCATCATACTCTGGGTAATCCTTCCTTCTGCATGTGTTTGATTGCCTCGTTGCGCCATACTTCTGCTTGTCTGCTCACGAGCACGCTGACCAGAATCAAGCGCTTCCACCGTACAATCACTGGCCATGGGTTGTGCGAATCCGCTTCTCCCAATAGTGGCATATCCACGTGCACCTTCCAATCCCGATTGTATTGAGCCTGTGCGACCATCTCCGTTACATACTTCACTTCTACTTCGGGAATGCTGAATGCCGTGAACCCGAACATTCCTGCGTTTCCTGTTCCTTCGCCGACGTTTTGTCCGCGCTTTATCTTGCACGTTAACATAGCCCCTGCGATAATTGTCGTGTCTGGAGTCCAATCGCGAAAGAGCAACAAACTGCTGACCCAACCTAGCACTTCCGCCTGGAGCTCCACGAGATGGGGGTTGTTCTGTATCTCGTATGGCATCATCCTCAGCAACCATCTGAACTGTTCGAAGTTTCCGACCAGTTGCTTCATCTCTGGGCTCGAGTGCCCTTCCCATACGTGCTCGGGGATTAGTTGGCATGCTTCTTCCGCGATTCTCCTCCACTGTATACTTTCTATGTGTGAATCGTCCAATTCCCATCCTTCGGTTGCTCGGTTCATGGAATGTCGGTTGCTCAATGGGATTGGATGTTTGCTGATCTTCATCATGTGCCGACTCCAACCTCGGTACAGCCGTGCCTCTATCACTTGCCGGGCAACTTGGAATCTGATTGACATCTTCTTACTTTCTTCGTCGTCTTCGCTAAAACAGCTGTAGTAGTTGTTGTCTTCGTAGATTGTTGTGCGATATTTGGTCGTTCGTTTGTTCTCCTCCTTCTCAGAACCTTCTTTGTTGTAGCCGGTTTGCTTTAAATCGTGGAGTGTTTCGCTGTCGGAATCTGCCTTGCTCTCTGTTTCGCAGGGCAGATACGGTAACGTCTGGTTCTTGTTCTTGATGGACTGCACAATCTGAACGAGAGAGAAAGAGAAAACGAAACAGATAGCCAGTCTACTAGACAGTAGAGCTGGAAGGATATTGATTAAATTAGAGAAATTGTGCGTTCAAGTTCACACCTTTTCAACAGGTCGCTCTCTTTTTCCCCCATCTTCCCTCTGTACTCTCACTCCTTCGAGAGGACACACGACGTGAACACAAGACAGCAAGACACCATGGCGGCAGAGGACGACAAAGGCACAACGGAAGATGAGGAGTGCGATGATCGCATTGATCCAATCACAGAGCTCCAAGATGGAATTGACGGACTGAGTCTGGCCATGTTCGAAGCGCTCCGAGGACTCCGTGATGCCGTGGCACCCGAGTCTGGAAATCTGGGGGGCAACAACAACAATTCCGCCGGTGAGAATTCCGAGCCTGATTTTGACGACTTTTGGAGCAGTTATCGCAGTGGCGATCCCACCACTGTGGCACTTGTCAACAAGGTTAACAGGGCTGGGACCCCGCCGACGCGACGAGAAGATTTTGCTCGTATTCACGCACGGATCGAAATGGAAAAAGATGCCGAATTGGTGGGCAAGCTTGCCAATGATGTCCTCGAAAAGAGCGGCAAAATCAATGAACGGGTGTCCACATTGCCGGGCATGGAGAGAACGAGAACACAACAAATGGAGTACATTGAAAAACTGATACAACAGAATCAAGAAGCTGCTGATGACTTGGAGAAACATCACGCAATTGCCAAGGAACGGAGAGATCAAGTACGACAATTTGTAAAAGACAATACATGCAAAGCCTTGGGGATTATTGAAGGAGACATGATGTAAATTTGACTGTCAATGTCAAAGGAAAGATGCCATACTAGTAGTTTGAAACGTTACAACAACAAACAACAATACACTTGATCAAACCGTTATCTGTTTCAAAAACGGCACAGTACTGCCATTTTTCTCATTGTCCCTCCTCGACACTCGAGGAACCGAGAGATAAGTATATCGTAATGGGAGGGAATGCTATAGTTGCTTTTATGTCCAAATGGAAAGGACAAATTCCGTACGAGTTGGAGTTCAAGTGAACCTAGATCTCATACTAGTACAAAGCGAGATGCGCAGAAGCAATCCAAACCTAAGTCTTTATGGTAAGTAGTCTAGTTTCCAAATAATTGACAACTCTGCTAACGGTACAAGAACCATAGCCTAACTGAATAGAACCGGTAACACCATCGTTGGGTCAAGTTGCTAGTTTGCAATGTGCACCAGAGAGCTCTCCGTGCACCCAAAGTCAGTAGAAGACTCGATCTTCCGATTACCGTACCCTATAAATTGATGGTTCCAAGCGTGACAGTCGACCCTAGAGTCGGTCCAAGATGTTGTTCCTACTGCATGTACGAGAGTTGGAATTGGCAATGGTTCTATTAGCTTAGCCAGTGCGGGTTCGGGCGTTGGCACCACGAGTCGAGTCGAGAATTGAAGGTTGCAAGTAAGTTTGAGCCTCTGGAACCTGGAATCGTGGGGCTGCCTAAGAAATTGCTCTCCAAACTCGCTAATGAAACAAAAAACGAGCAACCAAAGGGCCGCTCAATTCTGCAAAGTAGCATCTACAATTCATTTCTCCATCAAACTATTGTAAATGGGACCAGTAGCGGTCACCGTTTGGTCACTTCAACCAGACCAGAGTCATCTTCTCCATCCATTGCCGCCTCATCTTCTTCTTCGAATTCGGCAGCATCCAGACTTAACTCCTCGAGAAGATCAATCTCCTCGTACTCGTATTCCTCTTCTTCTTCCTCCTCCTCCGCCTCCTCTTCTTCCCTAGCTGCTATGTACTTTTTAAGGCCTTCTGCCAGGTCGACAATGTGTCGGTCCAATTTGTGAAGCATCTCCTTCAATTCCATGAACGGGATATCCGTACAGTTTGTCATTTCGTGGCGGTAAAACTGCACGTTTTCCAACAACTCGTATCGCTCTTCATCAGTTCTGTCCATTGCACCGCTATCAAGCTCATGCATGGTTGCATTGATTTGGGCAAAAAGTCCAGGTCCGTACTTCGCCTCGTGTTCTTCCGCCATTTGGGGATACCCTTTTTTCCTCAAGTAGAAGGCATTGTCGCGTCGCCCCTTTTCATACCAAATATCTTTGACGTACTCCCAGTTATGCCACCTGCGCCAGAGTTCATAAAACTCCTCCGTATCAGAGAATGGACCGGCAGCATCTAGTGCTTCACGTCTTCCAGGGGGCCATTCGTCTGGTCGAAGATCCATGTCTGGATGTCCGCGCGAGGTTAAGCGAATTTGCTCGATTGTCACTTCTGGTTGATTGGGATCCAAAGGTTCTGCCATCTCTGGGAACCACAAGAAGTCAATCATGCGAAGAAGACCCACTTTTTCAAGATGATAAGCTTCAAAGAAATATTGGAGTTCGCGAATACGATGAACTGCCTCGCCAACTTTGTAACCTGCCAATGCGAGCGGCCAGGGCTCTTCGTCCGGCATGACGAAATCCCTCGGAGCGAACATATCTCCTCTCACCAAATAATAGGCGAACATGGCACACATGGCCTTTTCAAACGGAATATCAATGAACTTATCGGGGTCTCCCCAATCAAACTTCAACTTGTCCAACCTCTTCTTTCGTTCAGGCAAGTGTTTCACTTCAAGACTACCGTCTTGAATGCGTTCTACGATACTGCCGAGCCTCATTCCGCCCAGATGCTCCGGCCAGTCTTCGGCAGATGCTTCCGGAGCCACTACCCCATTGCTATCAAGTTCACCGATTTCAGTCAATTCCTCCAACTCGTCATACAGAGATGCCTGTTCGCCAACCACTCTTCGCCTTGCTTCGGCAAGAGCAGATGCCGCACGGGAATTCATGTCGTTGTATCCAAGTGCATCCATGGATGACCCATCATCAGAGTACTCTTCCGAGTTGGTTGGTATTACAAAAGTGGACCCGTTCACGAGACCGGAGAAGTCTCCGTAGATCGATCGATAGATGGTCAATGCCTCGACAACGTCATCGAATACAAACTCGTCGCCAAAGTCATCGTTGAACCAGGGAATATCTTTTTCCCTCTTCCCCTTTACCACTCGGCGCCTCTCACTGACGTTCCCCAACAAAAAGCATCCACTCCATTAGCCGCCATACAACAGGTACGACAAGTTGCGCCCAATGGAACCACATAGGATTACTTACATGTACTCGTCTTCTCGGATGATGCCCACAGAGACAGCCCGTTCAGCTGCTTCTTTGAGACTCTCTTCGAGATTTTTAGGTGGTTTGTATTCTTCTGCAGCTTGTGCCTCTTCTTCTGCTTTTCTACTGGCGTCCTCAAAGCTGCCTGCCTCAAGACCCCACTGTGGGGTGTCATTGCCGCCTTCACCTCCAGCTGCAGCAGAGTTATCGTCAAAGTCAAAGGAATCACCAAAGAGAGACTGCAATGAATTGTCGGCTGGCACGGCATCTGCTTTGCTTTGTTTGGGTGTGCTTGCAGCGTCGACGACCTTTTCCGCTTCCAATTTTTCTTGATCTTCTTTCCTGCGCCTGCCCCTTCTATTGCCTCGGTCAGTGTTATGAGGTGCCCAAATAAAGCCAAGGTCATCGAGCAGTTGTTTCCGATCTGGATTTGAGTTCACAAAGGTGCCCTGACTCCGAATGGCATTGACTCTGGCACCAAGACGTAGACCCCAGGTATCCTCGGGCCATTCTTGGGATCCTTCCGGAACAACAAAGGGTTGCGGAACGTGCAAATCTCCGTGTATCTTTTTGTAGGCCTCCAACGCATCATAAACAAGCTGGAAGCGAGCATCATTTGCAGCGACCTTACCACTAACCTGCAAACCTAGCTCCTTGAGCTTTTCTTTTGCCCCAGGGTTGGCCGCCAGGAACGACTTGGATCGTAAGGTAGACATCTTTTTCCCCAGCGGCAGTCCACGTACAGTCTCCGGCCACGGATCACAGTCAGGGACTACAAAGTTGTTGGGGATGTTGATGGGTTCGCTGCCCTTTTGAACATGCTCCCGATAAGTGACAAGTGCTTCGTATATTTGTTGAAATGATGTCCCCGGAACATCTTTGTCTTTCGCTGACGAACTAGACCGTAAACGCCATACAAATCCCATGTCGTCCAATATCTTTCGACGCTTTTCATCATTCACATATTTACCGGTGGATCGAATGGCAGCCACTCTTTGACCAAGTTTCATTCCCCATGCCTTTTCTGTTGGATGGCGAAAAACAAACAAGTATGATCATGTGAGCACATAGACTTGGGTGAATCGAATACACCGAGGACAAATGATTGGATTCAATTGGACTAACCTGGCCAGGGAGCAAGCGAGGGCACCACAAATCGTAGGGGTACTTTGAGATGTCCATATGCTGCCTTGTACATTTTAAAAGCAAACAGCATCGAACGCCAGTCAGCCTCATCAGAACCTGTTTCTGAAGTCGCAGATTCTTCCGCTTCTTTCCTAACCCAAAGAGTAAAGGGTCGTCGCAAATGACAATTCCAAGGCTGGTTGTGGTGGGGTAATATCATTGCTTTAGTGGTAGCGAAGGCAACCTCGGCCCTGGGAGGTGTGATGAATGAATAGGCCCCCCCAACCCAAGATATCGCAATGGATACCAATAGGATATAGTTTTGCAGCAGACTGGTCGATCTCAGTGATGAAAGGTACCCATTGGCTGGCTTTCTGCGCCTCCTGTAGTTGTTGTGTTGTGGGATGGTGGAAGTTGTGGGTATGGGATGCCTGTGAAAACTGGCCCCATTCTCAGGATTCGTTGTCTTGTCGATCTTTCTCGCCATCCTTTTGTAGGAAGCTAGGCATGAATCATGCACATTCAGTGCAACAAATGCAATCAGATCGGACGGATCAGTTGGCAGGAACCTCTTGCCAAAGGGTTGGATGCAGGGATAAGGACACTGCTGTGAAGGAAAAGCTCAAAACTCCACGGACGCGTCACTCATGTAGAGTAGCTAGACACAGGATGGAGGTGACTGTTGCCTTTGACGGCTCGATAGTCCAAGCCAAGCGATGATATGAAGCAACAGTAATGACAGACCAGCTGAAGCGAGGGGAAGTATTCTCAATGCTATCGGTAGACAGCAAGCTCGAATGAATGGTCGATGTCTGGGATCTTGAGGATGGCATCAACTCGAAGTTGATTGGAGGGTGGAGGTGCCGCTTCCAGCTGCTTTCAGAAAAAAGACGTCAGTTTGAGACCGTCTGTCCTTGTCCGAAATACCGCCCAACGGGTTCCGCTCGCAGCTCTGCTAGCTAGCTACACCAGAGCACCCCATTTGTCTGGATAGGAAAAGGAGGTGGCGAGACAGCAAAGACAGCACCCACTGTCCCATTACAAGTACTATTACTAGCTAGTATGGTGAGTGCAAGGGTCTCATGGTCAGCCCATACGAATAGAACCTAGATGCTATCAGCAACAATACTGCGCTGCACTTGTGAGCGCCAGGCACAGCCAATCCTGAGCCTCATCCGTGGCTACTTGTTTTCTGGAGAAGCTTCTGGAGATACCGTGTAGACATCGTTTATTGAAAAAAGAGGTGAAGCCATGTGGCGTCATTGTACTTGCAACCAGCAGGAAAGGAATTATCCTCTCATAGATCTATTGGAGGTGTATAGTGGTGCAAGTTTTAACCCTTTGAAAAGAAAGCTACATGGCACCGATAACAGTGGATTCATTGGCCTTGATATTGCGTGAGCCAATTTTCCCTTACAATGCCAAATGAAGGTATATTCAAAGATCCAGTTGATGGAATCTTGCAAGGTGAAGGCTGGTACCGGTATGAGCCTCCAATTTCATGAAATGAGAACAGCCATTCAGACCAATCCAAATTGAGTTCAGAATGATACAAAGAGAGAGAGAGAGAGAGACTGACTTGTTGGTTAGGCGCTCATACTAGAAGGCATCAAGACCTCAGAAACACAAACTAGTCCTCAACGGGAACATAAGGCAGGTTTCTGTTTGTCATGAAGTCTCCTCATTATGGGATGTCTTTTCAAATGTCATAAACCTCCAGTTGTGCCTTATTATTTGTCAAACTACATGTATGCCTCAGGTTGTGCCTTCCTTACAGTCAACTTACACGTACATGTTTTTCTCAAAAGGTTTCAAGTCTTTGTATTCTCGATGGTTCTGGATAGAGCCAATGTGCGTCGTTTGACCAAGAGCCAGCCCGGCCCTCACGCTGTTGTGTGGCTGGGACGAAGAGAGTTTCGCTGCTCTCATCACCTCCATCGTGTGGCCCGGCAGGATTTGCCTGCTGCACTTCCACACGATAGAGTATCAGATAACCCTCCTCTTTGTTATTTGTTGTCTGTTACCTATCGTACTAGCTAGTATACTACCCCTGAAGAACAAGCCGAAGAGACAGTAGGCTTTGTGTGTGTGAGACTTGACTCTCCTTGCATCCACAATGAGCAGAAAAGGCCAGAGAATTGGGTAGGTTGGAATTGCATTTGTGCTGGAAGATGTCTGCAGTATGTTGTATCCGCGCATTGGCCAGGTGCTTTTTTGCGCGTTTCGCTTCTGTCTTGGTTATGTAATGATTAGTTCCTCCAGTGCACTGGCTAGCTTCTGACGCTAGCTTTTACTTGGCTTGTTGATGATACATCTTCTCATGTATGTCTTTCCTGCTGTGCTTGCTGCTATTTGTGCCAATGTCTGTGCTGTAAAGATCCGACAACAAGTCGACAATGGCCTCCAACGGCAGGGCATCGGCCCCCCCTGCCAACGCGTGGTCCCAGCCACTTCGTCCCAAACCGAATGCTGCCCAGGGACCACCACCTGGAATGGGAGGCAAAAGCCGTAGCCCCAATTCTTCCAGCTTGACTGGGAATGGCAACAGTGCCAGTTACGGCGTCCAAAATGCTCTGCGCGAACGCTTTATTGGACTCACACTGAACATGGTCGGTCAAAAAGTCACTGTAACGCAAACAAATGGTGCCGTCTTTGAAGGCATTTTCCATACGTTCACCCCCTTCAACAGTTTGCCCATGGAAACCAGAAACAAGTTTGTCATCAAAGCCTGCCGTGTGGTCAAACCTCCAACAGACACTTCTGCCGCTGCCGATGAACCACAGGTGGCTGATCAGTCTACTGTCATTATATCATTAGACAAAGTAGCCTGTGTCCAGGCAAAGAGCATGAGGATAGACTCGTTGGCACCCACTGCCAGTAACAGCAACGGGGCTTCCAAGCAACCAAAGGGTCCCGCCGATCCGTTCCGAACAGACGGTGAAATCTCGGCTGGCAAAGGAGGACGTAACAGAGACCTAGTGGCTGCTGGTAGTGCTTGGACGACGGCTTCTGGGACTACTGGCGGTAATTCTCGTGCTGATGCTCTCATTGGAGCCTTGGAGGGTGGGTCCAAAGACAAGGGACCCCGTGGGCGAAAGCCATTCAACGCCACTGCCGCTACCGGATCGGCCGGTGGTGGTCTTGCCGGGTCCATTGGTGGATGGGATCAGTTCGAAGCGAACGAGAAACTATTCAATGTCAACGCTACCTTTGACGAGAATTTGTACACCACTGAGCTGGATAAAACACAAATCGACAATAGGAAAATTGCCGAGGCAGAAAGATTGGCGCGTGAGATTGAAAATACGACCAGTTCCAACATGCATGTGGCGGAAGAACGTGGTCACGTTGTGCAGGTTGACTTTGACGAAGAGGATCGCTACTCGGGAGTCTTAAAAGAATCCGCCGTCACTGCGACACCGCAGCCGTCTGCATCAAGTGGAAAGCCAAAGGCTCCACTGGATGCGAAAGGAAAGGCAGACGATAACAACAAGCCTTCTGCTCCGGCTCCGCCGAAAAAGATGATGAATTACGCAGCTGCGGCCGCAAAGGCAGATACCAACAAGACCGCAGGACCACCAGGGTTCACATCCAAAGCCAAGCAGACGAAACCCCCTGCCGCTCCGGCTCCAGCTCCTGCCCCCGAGGAAAAGCCACAACAACAACCGACGCCGCCATCACCAGAACCAACTGCAGCCGACAAAGAATCTGCCAATGGCGCAGCTCCAAGCGAGCCAGAACCACAACCGGAACCAAAGAAAACACCGGCACCTGAACCTGTAAAGGACGACAAACCCGAGCCGCCACCTGTGGAAGCCGACAAACCCAAGCCTACGGTGGTGGAGGAGAAAGAAGAGACCCCTCCTGCAAAACCAGTGGAAGAAAAGGAAACTCCCGCACCGGATGTTGTCGAAAAGGAAGCCGTCGACGAGACTGCTGCTGTTGCTGAAACCAACCCACCAAAGCCGACCGAGGACAATGCCGAGAAACCCGCTGAGAAGAGATCGTCCAAATTGAACGCCAACGCAAAGGTATTCTCATTGAATGCGGCTGCCAAATCCTTCACACCAGGGGCCCCATCTCCTGCTCCTGCTGCTCCGGATGGCCAATTTGTAGATCCAAACGCTCCGATGCACGTCGGTCAAGTCCCTGGACACATGCCGGGACATCATTATATGCATGCAGGACCCATGGGTCACCAACCAGGTGGGAGACTTGAATTGCGCGTTTTTGTTGTGTTTTGTTCTGTCTAGCGTTGCTGACTTTCGTTCCTCTTTCGTTGCTAGGAATGATGCCGATGATGAACCCTCAATTCCCTGGTGTGCGGTACCCAGGATATGGAATGGACCAGCAACACATGCCGCAAATGCAACCACAACCTCAGCACATTGCTGCCAATCCCGCCCAAGGAAGTAGTGCGCCTTCCCCTGGACCCACCTCTGGAGAAGAAGAGGGAGGACAGGCTGCATCTCAACCGGACGGAGATGCTGCTGCAACACAGCAATCGTCAGCTCCACCGCCACAGCAGCAGCAGCAACAACAGCCCGGGCAACCGCAACAACCTCAGCAGGTGCCAGTTCCTCCGTACGGAGTCCCACCGCACGGGGCATACTATACGGGGATGGCGATGCCGCCGCGGCCAGGGGCCCCACATCCGGGCTTTCATCATCCCCAGTACGTTGGTGGGCCTCAGCAGATACCCGTTGGACCAGGTGGCGCTCCGTATCGACACATATATCCCATGCAACCAGGGGGCATGGCACCCAATGTGCAGGTAAGAGGGCCAGGTGGTCCGTACTACGGAGGCCCTGTCGCCCCAATGCCATATCCACATGGTGGCTACGTTGGACATAACATAATGGACGATGACCAAGGATTTCGTGGTGGCCGTGGCGGAGGTAGAGGTGGCCAAGGGAGAGGTCGCGGTAGAGGACGAAGGAGTGGAAGAGGCGGCCGTGGCTACAACTCATATCATCAGCAGCATGGAGGAGGACGGCATTCCGGGAACAATAACCAGAACAGTCAGAACATGCCAGCGGAAAATTGGACTCCCGGGGATGGCGGCGGTGCCGGTGCTCCACAGCAAGATCCATCCATGGATCAGGGTGGAAAATCTGGAGACAAATCATCCGCAAAGCAATGAAGACTAGAGGTGACGGCTAATGCATAGAAATAGACTCGACTCGGAGCTCGCCACAGTATGTCTTCCTCGAGTCAAAATCCAAGCCTACGCGGAACGAGTTCGCCCTCGAGAGGGGCCATCCTGCCAAGCCGGATCCTTTGAGTTCGGACTTGAGGCTAGAGGTTTGACCATCAAACGAAGACCTTGGACAACCGAGAGTGCCCTCCAACTTCTGATGGCAACGTCGACACGTCGATTTGCAGCGAGCGAACCAAGAAACCTCATCTTTGGTGCCACAATCTGTGGTAGAATAGGGTAAATAAAATTAGAGAAACGATTTGCCCTGAATTAATAAAATCCCTTGCTGGCTGCTAGCCAGAATTATAAACGTTTCTTTTGTCTACGAGAACATGCTATACTCAATTTTAGCTAAAGGCAACCACGGGTTGTCTGCGGTCTGTCTAAAAGCATCCACCGTAGGTACCGCTACCGGTATTGCGCATTGTATGAAAAATGCGCCGAAACTCAAAACAATCTGTCCTTTTTTGAGTTTGCCCTCGATGACAAGGTTTCTATTTTTGCGCTCCTTGGTTGAATGAAATGTTATAGGACCCTGCAGTGACATTACCAAGACAAATGAAGAATGAGGGAATGCATCAATTGCAACAACATTGGCGTGGACACGACACACGAAAAGCCATGATACATACCTGTACTGGGATCTTGATTGGCCTGAAAGTTGTCCATCGAAAGTCCAAAGTTTCCCAATATGGAATTTCCCAACTCCTTTAGTTTTCCTAACGTCTCCTCTTTCAGCTTTTCCAACCGTTCGTCTTCAATCTTTTGCAGCCTTTGTACGTTCTTCCGAGCTGCAGCATTTTTTGGGTCTAGCTCCAAAGCTTTCTTGGCATCGGACAAAGCCTTGTCGGTTTGCTCTTCTAAATTCTCGAATGCAGTCGATCGGCGTACATATGCTTTGGCCCAATCCGGACGCAAAAGAATGGCCACATCGCAATCTTGAATGGCATCCTCGTAGCGTTTCAAGCTCAAGCTGCAGGCAGCACGATTCGAATGGTAGATTGCCAGTTCCTTCCCATGAGGATGAGAAGGCGCCTCAAAATCTCGAGCTGGTATTGTCGCATTTTCTGTTTTGCTCTTGTCTCCGTCTTCTCCTGATGATTCAGCTGCTCTCTTTTGAGCCTGGAGACGGTGGACTTCATGAAGGCGTTTTCGCTCCTTTTCGTCGAATTCGTCTCGCTGGGCCAAAATTCCCTTTCCTGTCATTCCGGGACACGCTTCAATGGCCGAAGTGTACATATCAAGCGCTTCCAAGTAGTTCTTGTTTTTGAATTCTTCATTGCCCTGAGCCTTGAGCTTTTCTGACTCTGCCAATGGCGAGGGTTCCTCTGGTTGTGCTGTGGAAGTGGGATCCGCGTCTTTGGACTCTGGTTTTTCGGATTCTACAATGGATGCCATACCTCCAACCTCATACACTACTTCACCATCTCCTGAGTCAGGTATGGCGTCCAAATCAAAGCCGTCGCTAGCAAAGGTGGATTCGACCATGGTATTAAAATAGTTGGCTTTTTGTTGCGGCGTGATTGTGGATTGTTGACGAAAGAAGAAAGGCGTGGAAGCGAAAAGAACTAAAATATTATTTGGGATTACGTACTAGCTACCGTAGCTAGCTAGGGTATTTGACTCTAATGCTTTCTAGCTACTAGTACCTGGTAGCTACAGGACCGTCCGACGGTTTTCCCTCAGGTTTTAAAAAAACTTAAAATTTGGCAGTGGAAACATTCCCCTAAACATTCCCTTAAAACATTCCCTTAAATCCTCAACATTCCCTTAAGATTCCCTTAAATCAACATTCCCTTAACAACATTCCCTTAAGGCTTCGAAACATTCCTCTAAGCCTTCATGTAAACCCCATAGAACATTCCCTTAAAAAAATGAACATTCCCTTAAATAGACATTCCCTTAAAACATTCCCTTAAATCCTCAACATTCCCTTAACATTCCCTTAAAGCTTCAACATTCCCTTAAGGAGGTACCACCCGGTCTGTCCGTTTTTTTAGTCATGAGTTGGTTGAAACCCAAAATTACTCGAGAAAATCGCGACAACAACAACAACAAAACGATTTCGATTGCTGCTGTTGGGACTGGCTAGTGCTCTTGTCCTACTCAATTCTGACAGTAGCTACCATTCAGTTAAATCTTCGAAAAGTAGTTGTTAAGAAGGAGTGACTTGGCTGGACAGTTGCAGGGGCTCCGGTCGATAGGTCTCAGTAGCAGCAGACTTAGCGGTCGATTTTCGGCAGTTTTCAGAGTTAACACTGAACCAAACAGTCTAAGCCCCAGCGACTGTCCAACCCGACAGGGCACTCTTGTTTGTTATATTACAAGTACTCTTTGTATTGGTCAAAGCCTTAACAGAGGTCTTTATTCTACTCAACTAATCAGTCCAATTCAGCGATTGAAGTCGGTTTTTTGTTGTTGTTGTCGCGATTTTACTGGTTAATCCCAACTCATGACTAAAAGAGGGTGGTACCTCCTTAAAACATTCCCTTAACGAGAACCACGATTTGAGCAGTTTTTAAATCTGAGCAAAAACCGTCGGACGGTCCTGTAGTTAACGTTCCTTAACTTCATTGATGGTTCACGGTAGCTAGTCTATTCTGCTGTACGAGTTCAGGACGGATTGCTCTGAAAGTCTGGGTGCATTCTACGTGTACCGGGACTCCTTGCTGGATGCTGCATGCATGCTGCTCGAATCATTCAATCATGAACTCTCCAAATTCGGAGGGATTCGGTGGACGAAAGCTTGAGTTAATATCCTTTGGGTACTAAAATTTGACTGTAGAGAAATATATCCGTAGGGGGCGACTTCAAAAGACTTGCTGGCGACGAAACCAGACCGTACTGAAATTTGACACTAAGAATTCGGCGAAGCGAGCCAAGACTCCCGGCAGGTCAACCAATCCGTCTTGTGTGACATACGTACCTCCCTCATTTTTGAACCTGATCACATTTTCGAAGACGTATCTTTCCGTGGAGGTTCACGACATTGGGAATCAACAGTTGAAGCTATCATTACAACTACAAAAGAACTATGAGGATCAACAATAGTCAAGTCTTTTCAAAGTGGCCTATGAATTCCAGGTAGGAACTCAGTGGTAGGTGCACAAGAGCTGGGATGGAGAGCCCTGTTTGGTGGAGATCTCCTTCCACTGGCGCTGGAAAGGCCAGCCCAAGGCTGGCAGCCAATGCTATTCAATCACTGTGGAAGCAATGATTGAACAGTCTAATTGCTCAATACCCTGGCACTGGCCATACAGGATTCAGTCTACTGCAGAGCTCTACTTGTGCTGTTGGGTCTGTTTCTCAGGTCAACTCTTCTTCATTACTTCTTTAAACTATAACATGAACACAAACTCTAATTTTGCATGAAACTCCATCCAGCCATGCAGGATACAGATCCATGCATCTCTTTTGGCTGCTATAGACCAAGCTATCTTTCTAGATAGGTCATGGCTGAGGAACTGCATCATCCTTCCTTGCAGAGGAACTCTATGTCCTCTACAGCTGTTCCTATCTTGTCTGATGGTGACACAGCTCATTGTACTGAAAGAGTGTACAGATGCAGCAGCGATCTTTCCACCAGACTTAGCCAGCACAGCTGCGCCGCACCCAAACTATGGCTCCTATGGCATAATCTCATCGCTCCCCACCATTGGAGTCATGGATGGGGTGCTAACAAGCTTGCACATCATGGGGCTTCCCTCGATACTTCCATGAATTGGGAGCATCTGACTTCTCAGTGTGGACTTTGGTCGCTTACCTCCAGGGTCACCAACCCTCTTGAATACATCAAGGTGTCCATTGCTGAGTACCACTTGACACATTGGGAGGGGCATCACATGGGCTTGTGATTGAACCTCCAGTCGTGTTCAGGAGAGAAAGGGTGCATTGGCACTGGTCTATTGGACCGTCAATTGGGATCCCACCTGGTCTCCCCATACTTGCATCACAGCTCATTGGCTTAGGAGGCATCTATCTATCTCCCCATAAGGGCCAGTGAGAACAATCTTGCCATAACTGTTCGTCTGGAGCCCTCAACTGGGTAGTTAGGTGGCAAGTTGTCACCCTAGGAGGTGGGACTGGTTGTCCTATCAGATATTGCCTCAGCTAAAGGCAACAACTCGCAGATGTCTCCTCAAGTTTACCATCTCCTTACATGGGTTCAAAAGAATCCTGTCCAGAGACACGATTAACTTGGTGCTTGCTTGGGTATGACCGGTGCAGGTCCTATCACATGACATGGCAGTGGCTGATTCCACAGCCATCAGCTTGGGTGGGTGTTGCTCCAGCCCAACTGCTTCACCTTCGCTGAGGGTGACACAGTGTAAGTTCTGCCTATCACCTGAAAGTGAAGGGAGTGCCAGCAGGGCGGGAGGGTGGGAGTCACCAAAACATGTTTTCACAAAACATTGTACTTGGAACACTATCCTGGAGATGACAAGTTTAGCACAAACACTTGTCATACTGGGCCATGTCCTGCGGAAGGTAGCCCCTATGAGGGTGGCATGCTACCCCGCAGCCATGGCCGGTGCCTGGGTACCTTGGGCTCAACCAGTGCGGCACAAACACTAGTTGCCCAGTCAAAAATCCGTCTTGGACTTGCCCTTGAGGGCTGCAGTCACCACATTGCCGTCTGGAGAATCTAAGGCGTCCCCGACTGCTGGGTCAGCTTCGCTCTTTGGATCCACCAGGTCTGACATCTGGGTTCGACGGTGGGCTTCCATCAGGACTCTCTTGTCAGCGACAGAGAGCCTGTACCAAATCTGGCGTCCATTGCTGGATAGCTGAGACCAGACGTAGTCAGGAAGGCGTGGAACTTTACACTGCTCCCCATCACCCTGATGTCTCGTCTTGCCAATGTCGGCTATGTTGGCTAGACGTGAGTCATCATCTCTTCGGTTGATGTCAAAGAATGTGGCGGCATTCAGTAGCACCTCCTTGTACCGTCGTATGTAAACGATGCATGATGTCCCTCGCGACATACTCTCTCATGTTCACGTGCAGAAATGTCGTTCAAGGTGGGGACACCGATGAAGGCCCGCTGTAAGAACAGCTTCTGTATACCATCGGTGAGCCTATCACTGGAGTCTCCTTGGCCATCATTGTATCGGGTAACAACTGTGTCAAAGTTGACAATGAAGTCCACTGCAGAACCTTGCTCCTCTGGGCTGTATTGCACACTGGTGAGCCATTTGAGTGTCTCCACATGATCCAGAGAACCTGCCACAGACAAGTGAGCATCTTTGACAAGTTCAACGAGAATGGCAAAGCAATCAGAGTCATGAAAGTGAGACTTCACTATCACCTTTCCATTGGTGGTCTGCACTCTCTTCTGGAAGACAGCGTAGAACCAATGATTCATTCGTATGAGTTCATCCATGGACTCGGTGCTGCTTGGGACGTAGTCGGCATCAAAGATCTTATAAAACCCTTGACCTCTAGCCATAGTGATAAAGGACTCATACCACTGGTCGAAGTCCTTGTTGGATTTGAGGGTAGGGTAGGCCGTGGCATCCGGCTTGGCACGAAAGGGCTTGCCTGGAGGGCCTGTGTTGCCACCTCCTCCACCACCTCTGGGACTTGGAAGACCACCATTGCCATCAGGGGTGGGAATGAAGGCTGACTTCCTTCTTGGCTTCTCCGGTTGATCAGTAGGTTGGCTGACTAGAGGAATGGCTGAGTGTACTGGTGTCTGGGATGATGCCGGCCTAATAGGCAAGGGCTGATAGGCTGCTGGGAATACAGGTCGTGTAGGAATTGAAGACATCGGTTGTGTAGTTGGGTATCTCACAGAGTGGGGTGTTGGTGGGATGCCGCGATGTGATGGTATTGGTGTTGGTTGGGGATATACCTCCCCATTGAGGGCCCACTCTTGGTGATGGTATCCACCTCCAGCAGAGGGAGGGGCAACATCCATGACAACCTTGGGTTGGGATGAATGACCAAGAGGGTCCTCAACATCACCCAACAAACTCTGTTCCAAACTGTCTGGTTCTGAATCGGTCCTCCTAGCCTTGATCTCAGGGCTAGGCTTGTGTGATAAACCAGGTGTGCAGGGAATGGAGTCATGTGGATGGAAGGAACCAAGCTGATTGGTATTGTTGTGGCCTTGTGGTGGGGGCAAGGAAGCTTGGTTCATTTGGTTCATTTTCTTCAATGCTATTGCCAGTTGGTGGCTGATCATTGAAAGGGTAACACCTTGGTTGGCTGGTGGGGAAGGAGTCACAATGGGAGGCCCTGACTGGTAGGCTACAGGGGGGTCCACAGGTGTCCTTCCATGTGATGGAACTGGATGTGGAGGTCCTGCAGTGGTGGACCTGTTGGTGTTACCAGTGCTATTGCTAGATGCTGGTGGTGTAACACCAATGGCAGGCTGGGCCTGTTGTTGTTGCTTCTTCTTCTTGCGAGCCATGATAATGGTTGTTGGTGCGCTGGCTTAGTGTGGTGTAGAGGTGTTGCTGCTGTAGTAAATCCAAAAGTGGTCCTGAAGGCTTGCACTGCTAGTCAGAGACTAAACATAGGTTGCTTGACACACTGGTAACCTTGGATCCTTTCGAAACAGTCAAATCGTGCTCTCGTGGTGTTGCGAGTTACACTGGATCGACACCTCGAATCAACACGTATCTTTAATACCGAGTTCGGAATTCCGAGGAAAATGTGAGGCGACTCGGATCTTGGGCTCGGCCTGCTTTCGGAACAGAGGTACGTTCCGAGTGACGTTTCTTCCGTACCGGTTTTGTGAGTACCGTGTGAGTACCGGTTCCCTTGACCGGAGTACCTTGACCGGAGGCACGACTGAGAGTTTCCGTAAAGGAATCGAAGAAAAGGATCGACAATGGCCAACCAACAGGATAATGCCGTCGGCAGCCGTAACCAAGCCTGTTAACAAAGAACTGGCTGGACTATCTTGTAAAGAAGGTCCAGGTTGATAGGAGACCGTCTTGGTTTGGGCGCTACCGCTCTGTTACTCGTTGCGTTAGGTCGATCGGCAGATCCTGTCGCGATTTTCTTGTTGATGGACCAGCCGATGCTTTCCACTCACCGATCTCGAAAGGTAGGCCGACTGGTAGGAAGATAGTCGTTGTATCTTGTAGAGCGTCCTTCGGTTAGTCAATGGACCACTGGACACCTTGTTAATCGGTCGCGATTCCAGTTTTCGGTCGATCGATCTGTCGGCAGGCTGTTTGCGACGGAATTCCTTCTTCTTCACTCGATTTCCACACGTAGCCACTCTTGTGTGCTTGCGACAAGTTAATCCTATGAATTCCAGGTAGGAACTCAGCTGGTAGGTGCACAAGAGCTGGGATGGAGAGCTCTGTTGGTGGAGATCTCCTTCCACTGGCGCTGGAAGGGCCAGCCCAAGGCTGGCAGCCAATGCTATTCAATCACTGTGGAAGCAATGATTGAACAGTCTAATTGCTCAATACCCTGGTACTGGCCATACAGGATCCTGTCTACTGCAGGGCTCTACTTGTGCTGTTGGGTCTGTTTCTCAGGTCAACTACTTCTTCATTACTTCTTTAAACTATATATAAACACAAACTCTGATTTTGCGTGAAACTCCATCCTCCAGCCATGCAGGATACAGATCCATGCATCTCTTTTGGCTGGTATTGACCAAGCTATCTTTCTAGATAGGTCATGGCTGAGGAACTGCATCATCCTTCCTTACAGAGGAACTCTATGTCCTCTACAGCTGTTCCTATTTTGTCTGATGGTGACACAGCTCATTGTACTGAAAGACTGTACAGGTGCAACAGCGATCTTTCCATCAGACTGAGCCAGCACAGCTGCGCCGCACCCATATGGCTCCTATGGCATAATCTCATCGATGTGACTTCTTTTTAGTAGACAATGACTTAACGGTTGGATACACCAATGGGCACAAAGGGTAACATACCACGTACTGAAGTTGTTTCCCCTGCCAGTAGTAGATTGTAAAGTACGTCACTTCCCAACCTGGAGCACCGGTTGCCTAATTGGATCCTTGGACTTGGTTCGGAAGGAGAGGTTGGGATGTGCTTCCCAAACGAGACCTGAGGTCTCGTTTTCAGAATTACCTACAATTGCGCTTCTTAGATGAAGCTACACAAAAACTAGTGCAATAGACAAACACGCAGGAGTAAGATTTGATGAACACAAACTACAATACTACTATTTTACTATAGGTCTGTACCATGGAATGTAAACATGTTACATTATTCCTTTTATATTATTATGCCTTGAAACGCCCTTCACTGAGCGCGGGGGGGTTTCGGTTGTGATTGGTGCCGGCAGCATTTCCCATGTGATGGGGTATTATCGTGAAATACTAGAACCGGAGTCAATGGAAGCTGTTGGATTTTTAAAATGGAGTATTCAGTTTTCGAGAATGTCGACTAGTTTTTATAGCGGGCAAGCAATGTGCTTTGTTGCCAGAAGAGTTAATTCTTTGGTGAGATTATGGCATTCAAAGCATCAGCAAGAGATGTGGTTCCAGTGGTATCCAATCATCGTTCTCATCAAGCGCATTCAGTCTAAGCCATGATGAATCATTGGAAGCTAGAGCCAAAAAGGTGTTGTCATTGCTTTGTTGGTCTGGTACCAATACCTATAATGATCGTCGCCTTTTCCTTTAGTGTTATCTTCTTACCACGGCAGACTGGTTGATAGCTATCCTCATGTTGCGAGGGTACAGCATGGTTTCCTGTGGCAAATGACTGTGGTTTTTCAGCCGCAGATAGTAGATGATTTTGTGACAGATTTCGACAGGGCCACTTGTGGTGACCTGCTTCTACCAATAGAAGGTGTCGTCGTTCGTTTGGGAAAGGGACCACAAGTCACCATGGCGAACATTTTCTTCTGGGTGGCTGAGGAAACGGCCAGTTTACCATAGAATAAAGAGTACTATTAATTTGAGAGTCAGTGTGTGTCCCGATTGGGCGGTTCCAGTTTGCTTCGATCTGGAATTGTGTGTGTTCCCAGAAAGCAATTCACCAGGGCTGGCGAGCTTGCCAGATGGACCCTTGAAGCACCCCAGGGATTGTGGTCGTCAGAATTTACCACAGGCTTGATGGGAGTTAGGAGTATAGGGAATTGAGGCATTTGATTTCAAATTGACATTTTGATGTCAATATTGTCAATTGATGGTTATGGACATTTTGACAGGACTCAAAGCTGTCAATTTGTCAATGTTGATCAATTTGATCAATTGCTGTCAACAAGAATCAATTTGTCAATGTTGACATCAAAATATCAACAGATTCCAATTGATCAATGTTGACTCAAAAAAAGCTTTTTGACAGTTGTTGATGGTTTTGATTGATCCACAATTGACCTTTGGACATCAATCATTGTCCTGTTGACCGTTGTTGACGGGCAGCAATCATCCACCTCTATCCTATCAAGTGATGCTATCTCCTGTACAGTGGCTACTCCTCTTTATAAAGGTGATTACTACTCCACCATGAAAGGCTCCTCTTGTTTGGATTCGGTTAGACGGATCGACGACTTCATTCCGCCGAACGTCGACGTCGCTGATGCTACCGACGCTTAAGTCGACCAAGTCAAGCCGCTGTCACAGTGACAGCCCCCTGCCAGTCGGGGGGAAAACGACGCAGCTCCGACAAAAGGATTCGATTCCATCATACTGTACAAATGCAACAAGCGGCAGTGATGGATTCGGTTGATGAGTGCATTGCGGATACCGGTACCGGTGCTTCTTTACACCTCTTCATGCATAAAATCATCATCAACAACAAACTCTGCTGTTACTAGCTTACTGCCACCACGACTACGACTACTGCTGTTGCCAGCTACCGAACGAATTTAAATATCATCATCGACAGAACGACCTTGATGCATCTACTGTTAGCAGCAGATCGATATAACAAATGACTTTTTCTCTAAAGTTCGGTCGACGGATCGATGAGCATCTTTACGGACGCTTCCGCGACGGACTCTTCATGACGGAACGCTCGTCGGACGTCGGACTGCCACTGACTGTGAGAAGTGCTGCTGCACGCTGTTACTCGTACGACAACCGCTTTGTTGTCGCAGCCAATAAGGGTATAAGGGTATTATCCTATTAACGCTAGTGCAATTGTTGCTACCGTATCCATCTACCATAGTTGGTACTTTGATGAGTGTGTGTTGTTGTCATCAAATCAAAATGTCAATTTGTCAATGTTGATCAATTTTAATCAACATTGATCAGTGTTGAGTCAAACAAATCCTCAAAAAATCCAAAAAAAATTGACAGTGTTGACTGATGCCGATTGATGTTGATTTTGCTGATTTGCATCAATTTGTCAATTTTGATGTTGACAGGTGTTGAACCGTTTTGACTGTCAAAAAATCAAATAACGACCCAGGGGGAGCCACTGAGGAGCGTGGAATTTTATAATAAACTTATTTTACTGAACGCAAAAGGTTAGAGATAAAAAAAGGGGGAGCCCTGGAAACCTGCATAAAGGACGTATCGGTACCTCGAGGTAGCTAGCTAGTACCTAGCTAGTAGCGAGATAGAGTACAATTTCGTGTTGACAAAGCACAATCGTACTAATTTACTATAGATTCCCACAGTGGTTTGCATAAACAGTATAAGATTCCTTTTCACAGCCTTGGCCAAATCGTGATTTGGTAGATCGGTACAGTACTTTATATAGTAAACGGTCCTATGCAGGATTCGAACTGATTGCTACATGAAATGGTGTAAAAGCCTTGTTATAAAGGACTCGAATTACTTATCTGCTAGCTTGACTAGTGACACTTTATGAGAATGCGTGACTGCACATGTAGGAAGATTCATACATCAAAACGTATAGTAAAAGATACTACGGGTGCAAAAAGGTTGCTATGCAGGATTCGAACTATCGACCTTATATCTCTTGCTAACCAGTAAAAATCGTTTTCTGCATAGGCTTAAATAAAGGTGACCTTTGAAACATGCATTGCTGGTTCTCTCGTGTTCCGTGACATGTGCCAAATCGCCAAACGAGGGTAGCGTGATTTGTCCCTCACAAATTTTCACTTAGGCTAAGTGATTGAATTTTCACTTAGGCTAAGTGATTCAATTTGATTTACTTAGGCTAAGTGGTTCACTTAGCCTTAGTGAAATTCAGTCTTATTTGATTTACCAAGTAGTCAGTCACATTAGATTCACTTAGCCTGAGTAATTCACTTAGGCTAAGTGGCTCACTTAGCCTAAGTGAATCACTTAGCCTAAGTGATGCTTTTCGTGGCAGCTTCTCTCAGCTCATAATCTGTCAGATTTCATTTTTTCAAAGGCACTGAGAAAACTCTGGCTCTGAGATATGTCAATATAAAAACTGTTAAGGATGGAAACAAATCACGACCATGAGCTTCCACTCTTACAAGGACAGGCCAATGATGCATCCAACAATAACAACGCTACCAACACCAACAATAGTGTTGGCGAGGATGATTTGATTGAGTCTGAGCTTGGGTCTGAGATTGACCATGTCATAGGAGCAGTTGTTGACTCCAAAGAAAAGAAGAAAGAGAAGCAACGTGAGCACACAAAACAGCATGACAGAAAGCGGAAACAAGAAAATATCACAGTATCTAGATTCCCCTTATCAATGCAGACAATATCACTCAACTTCCTGGAAACAACGATGTTCCGAGCTATGTGATTTCAAGTGGTCTCTACTTGGTTCTGGGAGCTGTATTGAAAAAACGCCTTGGAGCAAAGCGTGTTGCTTTTTCATTCTACAATACTTTGAAACAAGCAATGGAGACTGTCCCAGATGAACTTCCAACTATCATTCAACAAAGATTTGATTTGGTAATCCTTGGTGATGACAAAGAATTGCGGTACTTTGATAAATTGGATGGTTTGACTGATCTTCCCACACTGGAGCAAGAAACCAGACATTACAATACGGTATATCATGGTCTTGCCGATCGGATCAACAGTGTGTTTTCATCATTGCGAACCAATGATCATATTAAATTTTTTCCATCATTGGAGTTACAAGGATTAATCAACAACCGAAGAAAATGCGATAATCTCTTGTCAAGTTTCAGACTTCCACGATATTATTTCACATTTCGAGTTCAAGCGACTACTGACTCGTGGAGAAACTGGTTTATCACAATCCGCAATGGGACCAGCATGGTGTTTGCAACCATGTTGCAGCTTAGGAAGGTATCATCGATTATGCTGGGAAGACCAATAGACATTGAAATAGAAAGGACATTTCTCGTTATCACCTTTGATGGGACGTGATGTTTTGTGAATCTTGTGAAGCTCTTTGAGCAGTTCACATGAAGCTCAAAATGGGGGCATGATGGGTGATAGTTGTGACTCTCCTTGTGGCTGTGTGTGTGCTTGTTGCAGGGACTTGTTGTGTTGTGCTGTTGAGGAGACTTGAGACTTGTGCTGTTGAGGAGCCTCGGAGAGCATCACTTAGCCTAAGTGTTTCGCTTAGCCTAAGTGAGTTGATTAGTATGGCTTAGCCTAAGTGTTTCACTTAGCCTAAGTGAGTTGCTTAGTATGGCTTAGCCTAAGTGTATTGCTTAGCCTAAGTGTTTCACTTAGCCTAAGTGTATTGCTTAGGCAAAGTGTTTTACTTAGCCTAAGTGGATTTTCGAGCACTTAGCCTAAGTGAAAATTTGTGAGGGACAAATCAGGCTACCCAATCCTGCACAGAGAGAATACGTATAGTAAAACAGTAGCAAATTGTGATGAATCTTTTATGTAGATTCATACAGTACTTTATGTATCGAACTTTGCTATGCAGGATTCGCTTTTCGCAGCCTATATCTTTTTCCACCCACTAAGAATGGGACAATTCGCTATCCTGCACAGGCTTTAATAAGATATAAGCCTCATTTTCGAATCATGCATTGATTAAATTCGTATAGTAATAGTGTACGTTTCAATAGTTCTTGACACATGTCAATCTCTGAAGGCGTTTCAAGGCATAATAATTAAAAAGGAATAATGTAATATATTTACAATCCATGGTACAGACGTATAGTAAAATAGTAGTATTGTGGTTTGTGTTCATCAAATCTTACTCCTGCGTGTTTGTCTATGTCACTAGTTTTTGTGTAGCCTTGGTAGAAAAGGCTTAAATAAATGCTTCATTAATAAGCGTGTGAGAGACTGGGATAAAATCCTCAGTGTCAATTTCAAAATCAATCAAAATTGAGTCTTGCTTCCATGGATTGACATCAAAATGTCAATTTGACATCAAATGCCTCATTTCCCAATACTCCTTACCACGCTGTCAACAGATTTGATATTGATCTTCGGAGTGAAAGCAACACCCAAAACCAGCTGGGGTTCCCCACTTCGATGAAAATCATAGCGCAAGTGGTGGAAGAAACACGCGGATGCCTCCAACTTGCCACCAGAAGACCATAGCAAATTGCTCCCCCATTGGGCAGTTTTGGTGGCCTTCGCGATCAGTTCGGCAATGGGTGGGATTTTGTTGGTCAAGAAACAGTTCTTACGAGAGTTGGTATCATTGACGACTCCCGTCATGAATAGCTGCACCCGTTTGGAGCCATCTGGACTGACAAAGCAGTCAAACAGTGTAATTGAGATGACGAGCCATAGAGCGGGGGCTCCAGTCCCTAACCGGACCCGTGCCAGGGGTCCTCTTCCGTATGCCCAAAAAAACTCGACTGAAGTGCCGAATGTCGTTTTTGAAGTATTTGACAGCTTTAAGGTTCTTTGCGTTCACACGGCATACCTTCACAGGCATATCCATTTTCCGACTGGTCAAGCTGGCTAGCTATATCAATATCCGATCATAGCAAGAGGCAGCATCATTGTCGTTTTTCACAGGATGCAAGCAGCACCTCGTGATCCTTTTGTGAAGCAAGATTTCAGCAGATGATGGCCTTGTTCAGTAATATGCAAAGACCATAAGAAGCCAATGCCACCCCCTCCAACCCTCCTTCCTCCAGACAACCACATCCTCCTGGAGGGGGTGCCAATGATGCTCCAGTACTGGGTATGCTTGTGCCCCAGTATGGAAGTTACCAGACTCCTCATCAATCTCCAGTCCATGGACAATATCACCACCAAGGCACCAATGATGTCTACACACACCCAGACTTCCTCCAGGGCTACCATGGCAATCCCTATCAGAAGCGACCACCACCTTCAAATGTACCAGTTGCAACTCAAGATGGTATTCCCGTGACGTCTCCTCTACTCAAGCAAGATGACAAGCGCCCTCGTGGCGACCCACGCTCTCTTCAGCCAGCACAGTTGTACCCAGCAGCTACCCATCAGCCTTACCATCAGCCACAGCCAGCACCCTACCATGGACTACAGTATCTTGCTGATGCCGGATTCCACCCAGGATTTTCCCAGCCTACCCAACCCCCATCACAACCCCCACCCAACCAGGACCCACAGGGGCATCCTGGTGGGCGGGGTAGTTAAAGATGGGCTGGGCTCCCCCGGCACAAAGTGTTCTATGGGACTCGCTGGGCGGAGGCCAGCCTACTGGGGCAGTTGAATCACCGTTAGTGGATGACTTTGACTCATGGGACAATATCAAGGGGATGCTGGCTCGAAATGAGCCAGTGGGGGACATTATGCCACCCAAGAAGCCACCACATGTGGCGAGATTCATCTTCAACAACAAGAGAGGATTCCCACTTTACGATGAAAATGGCGGGGAGCTCTTTGAAGATTGCAAAACTTTGGGTATGCTAGGAACCGATTATGCTGGATTTCAGGAGCCCAATCTTGATACTAACCAGCCAGGTGTGCGACGGAAGATTCAGGCAGCTGTGAGGAGGGCCTTTGACCACAGGAAGGTCACCTTTGGCAGCACTCCACAGATTCACTTAAGAGAATACAAGCCAGGAGGGACTCTATCTCTGGTGATGGGCCGCACCGTTGGAAGAGTGTTGGAGGCTGAGGCAGACTACCTGGGCCGCTGGACAAGGACGGTTCTATCCTGCAAAGATGGAAAGCGACTATCAGTTTACAATGTGTATACTGTGACCGATGGGAGTGTTGAGAGGGCTGGGGATAGGACCGTTTTGGCCCAACTACATGCCATCTATGTACAAGAATCAAGGCCGTCCCTGGATCCAAGGAGGAACCACTATGATGATCTTCAGGAATGCGTGGCCAACGACATCGCCAATGGTCATGAGATTATTGTGGGTGGGGATTTCAATGACGATTTGGCAAGAGGACGGAAAGGGCTATCGCGACTGGTCTCCGATTGCAAGCTTGTAGACCCGATTTTCTACAATCATGGAATCAGCGACTTTAACACCTATGTCAGAGGCAGTAAGGTAATCGATTACATCCTCGTTTCTGAAAACCTTTTGGATGCTGTCGACGCTTGTGGTTACCATCCATTCTGTGACCACTTCTATAGTGACCACCGTGCCTGCTTTGTCGACTTCGACTTGAAACAGCTGTTTGGGTCTGATACAGCAGCCTTACCCAAGCCCTGTCAACGAAGGGTGCATTCCAAGAAACGCCATCAAGTCACCACCTACATCAAATCCAAGTACAGCTATCTTGACAATCATGGATTCTTTCAACGACTGTGGAGATTCAACCAGGCACCTACTCAGCAGGAGGCTGAGGCCTTGGATCAACTCCTGCTCTCTGCAAGCCTCCACGCCGCCAAAAAGTGCCCAACCTATTCGCCCATTCCCAGTTCCCCAGCATTGACCCAGTTACGACTGAAGTTCCAAGTCTTGACGATGGCCCTGCATGCACTCCAATGCAAGAACGACGTTACCAATCAGATTCGTCTACGCATGGAGCGGATCTCCGATCCAGCCTTTGAACTACCCACCTCGTTGGAAGACTGCAAGAAACGAAAGAAGCAAGCCCGCAAGGAACTTCGTGCAGCGGAGGTGGATGAGTGGAGAACACACAAGTTGCGCCAAGAGTATCAAATGGAACTCCAAGCACAATACGAGTCTGAAGGTGACACGAGGTTGGCTAATGTGATGAAGCGCTTGCGCAACGCTGAAGCCACTCGGAGAGCATGGCAAAAGTGTGCCCACGCCAGGGGTAAATGTCATGGTGCGGGACTGACAGCCTTGGAAGTCCCCCGAGACCCCACTGCGCCACCAAAACAGTGTCAAGACTGGATGTATGTTGAGGATCCCGAGGAAATTGAACGCCATCTCCAGGCTCACCTCAAAAAGCACTTCCGGCAGGCTGAGGAGACAGAATTCCGATCCGACTCCACACTGCGGACCGATACAGATTTCTCCGCCAGTACTGCTACCGCCGATGCAATCCTCGATGGCGAATACGACATTTGCCCATTTGAAACGTCATTTGCTACAGCAGTCCTCCTCAGGCATCTGGCTCGGGCTTGTGATGGTGAGATTCCAGCAACGTTGACACAGGAACAGTTTGATGGGAAACTCAAGAGCTGGAATGAGCGCACCACCACCTCTCCCTCTGGGCAACACCTCGGCCATTGGAAGTCACTCTTTGCGGAACACAGCCTCGACCCAGAGTCTGAGGAAGGGAAGGAGCTGGAAGACTTTCAAACAAAGATCAAACAGGCCCACTTTAGGCTCCTCAACTTTGCTCTGGAACAGGGATTTGCCTACTCTAGATGGAACAAAATTGTCAACACCCTCATCCCCACGGATGAGGGTGGTTGCAAAATCCATCGTCTGAGAGTCATCCATATCTTTGAAGCCGACTATAACCTGCTTCTCGGAGTGAAGTGGCGTGAACTCCTCCACCATGCCTCCAAGCAAGGGCTGATCAACACAAGACAGTTTGGTTCCGTTCCAGGAAGGTCCGCCATTGATTCTCTGTTATATGGAGGAACTCGAGTATGAAGTATCACGTTTGTTGTTTGCACCCCCTAATCAAAATGACAATGACGCAGGCTCGTGCTACGATAGGATTCTCATGTACATTGCCGTCTTGCAAGCCGAAAGATGGGTATGCCAGTGCGTGTCTGTAAAGTGAAGGCATGAATCTGGAACAGGCCCAGTACCATATCAAGACCACTCTGGGAACGTCAGTCACGTTTCTGGGTCATACGGAGGAAGATCCCTGGCACGGGTTGGCCAAGGAGCTGGGAACTCCCTGCCTTATGGCTGTTTATTTCGAGCACACTATTTGATTGTTTCGAGCCTTATGCAACTGGTGCCACCTTTGCCAGCCCAGACGGATCAAAGCAGGTCAAGCTGTTCATGACGGGTTTGTGGATGATACGAATTCAAGAACGAATTGCTTTTTGACCAACACTATTCCCTCAGTGCAGGTCTTGGTGGAGAAGGCAACCAAAGATGCTCAACGGTGGAGTGATCTTCTGTGGTCATCGGGTGGTAAGCTGGAGGCTTCGAAGTGTTCCTTTCATCATCTCCGATATGAGTTCAGATCAAGTGGTGAACCAAAGCTGGTCTCAGGGACTGACTTTACACCATCCATCAAGGTGGCATCCACTGATGGGATCGTCACGCCGATCAACCCAGTCGACAACTACAAAGATCACAAGTCACTAGGATGTTTCAAAGGACCGGCTGGAAATCTCACAGCACAGAAAGCAGCCCTGATCAAGAAATGCACCATTATACCGGGTTCTGAAAGGGTCCCCACTGAATCGAAGGGAAGCCAACATGTCTATCGAAGCATCTTCCTATCGAGTGCTGGTTACTGCTTGGAGACAACCTTCTTCAAGGATGTCGATCTCGATCATTTGATCGGCTCCACGCGAGCTGCACTTCAGAAGATGGGGTATCGACGAATACTGCGAAAGTGATCTGCTAGGTTCCTGGAAGTTGGGGGTATAGAAATGTTTCGACTCGCTGACAAGCAAGGAATCGGGGTCATCCAGCAGTTCTTAAAGCACTGGAGGACGAGGTGCACGACATGGAGACCTAAGTGAAGTCAATACGCATGGTTGCAATTCATGCCGGAATTGGCCGCCATCCTTGAGGATCTCAAAATCGATTGTCATCTCCCAGTCGGGCTGTTCCAATGCATGCGAAGGTTCTTAAATCCATTGGAGGCCGATTGAAGTGCATAACGCCTCACTTTCCGCCGTTGCAGCGCGGGCAGACTCCTACATTATGGATTGGGTGGGGTGGTATGGAAATTTCTCCGAGGCAGACTTGAAACGGATAACTATGTGCGTCTGTACTTCCAAGTGTCACGGTAGCTGACATCACAACGGCATGGTGCACATACATCCGGGAGGAGTTCTGGCATGGCTTTTCCAGTCCTCTGATGCCTCGACCACCTACTTCAAGAGATTTCAAGATCGACCCAGGGATCCAGGACTTGGTGGTTGTGGAGGAAAGCTTATCCTTTTTCGCTCCGAATCTGACGTTGGATGTACCCTGGGGAGGTGGTCGTCTCTGCTGACAAGCTCCGGATGCGCCACAGTTTCTTCTATGAAGTCGATGCAACGTCGTCTATCAACAATGTTGACAATGAAGAGTCCGATTTCTGGATGTTCCAACATCCAGTCCCGAACAAGGACGGACAGTTCATCGCTGGGAGTTCGGAGATGAGACCTACCTGGACGCCAGCATCCTACACAACTCCGTGCCACTGGATCCCTACTTCCCCCGATCTTGCACCTCTGTCCAGCCAGACTCTGGGAAGCGGCGAGTCCTAGACCTGACCCTCTTCAACAAGCGTGAGACAGTGGTAGTTGTAGTGGTTTCACAGCAGGCATTCCTGCTCGTCCACTACCACCACACCAACAACATTTGAGGTTTCCTTGCCACTTTGGAGCTTGGGAAACAGCTCTCTATGACGAGCTTGAATGGATGGTGGACGCCTACTCAGTCCTGCAGATTGTCACAGCCATGCCCTTCTGGGTGGCCAGCGATGGGGCTGCAGACATTGAAGCCGGTAAGGCGAGTTTTGCATGGGTCCTGGCAGACAACCGCGGCCAAATTGTGCTTCGGTGCTCTGGTCCAGTTTTTGGTATGGTTCCGACTTCATACAGGGCGGAGGCCTATGGCATTCTATCCCCTACTTGCCTTCTTCGACGATTGCTACGATCAGACCACCATGAAGAATTATGTACACTTATGCGACAATGAATCTGTGACGAATAAGTGCGCTAGCTGTCTCGAGTATGAGGGCTGGTACCCCAATGATTCGTTGAACTCCGACTGGGATGTCTTGCAGCAGATCGAGGATTCGTTCCGGGCTGCCGTCACTGTGCCCAAGATGGAGCACATAAAATCGCACCAGGACAAGCACAAGGCCATCGAAACACTACCCCTAAAAGCACAACTGAACTGCAGAGCTGACAAACTGGCAGGCAGTTACATGAACAGACAAGTGACACAGGATCACTCCAAGGTACTCCGATTTCCGGCAAACCTGGCCCAGCTGCACCTTCCCAGAGGAACATGCACATACAAGCTCCCCAGAACACTGCGGCATCTCAGGAACGACCAGCCCCTGTTCGACCACATTGTCAAACGGAATCCCGACTGGAACGAGGACACCCCTGCACTGGTTGATTGAACAGCCCATGGTCGAGCTGTCAACCGTCACGAGATCCACAAACCGACAATTGTGAAGTTCCTATTTCAATTGTTGCCAGTTGGGAAAAGGATCCACCGGGATGACCCCAAGTATGATCATCACTGTCCCCGTTGTGGCGGTGATCACGAGACTGAAACCCATGTTTACCGATGCCCGCATGTTGACGTGGATTTGTGGCGAGGGACCATGCAACGAGCAATCAGCACAAAGTTGCGCAAGGATTCCACAGACCCCTTCCTCCTGGAAATTGCTCTGGATGGACTACAATACCACTTTGAAGATCGATTCCTCCACCCATGGCATTACCCTGACAGGTATAGGGACCTCGTTGACACTCAAAATCTCGTTGGTTGGGACAACTTCCTTAGAGGACGTTTGTCCACGCACTGGGCTAAGCATCGAGATGCATATCTGCATGGGGTCGGCTCCCAGGAGACCACCAAGACAGGGCAGCTCTGGGTCACCAACCTAGCCTCACTGCTCATCAAGCAGTGGTGGAACCTGTGGGAGGATCGAAATGCTGCCAGGCATGGCAAAGACAGGGAAGACCAGTGGAAGAAGAAGCACGAACAGCTTCAGCGGGAGGTGGAACTCATTTATGAGAAAGCGGATCTGATCCCAGCGGAGCTGGTGGAGTTTATCTTCAAGCGATCGCTTGACGAGCAAATGGCAAAGGGCCCAGGCGACATCAAAGCGTGGCTTGCCAATTGGCTGCCCGTCGTCGACAAGGCACTTAGGGACGAGCATGCACGCACAGTGCAGAACAATGACACAGGGTAACTATGCACAGAGGGGGTCTTACCGTAGAAATAGATGGCAATCCAGCCAAGGGTAGCTAGTTAGTCGTACAGCACCCTCCGGAGTTTTGTTAAATTTCTCCGGTGGGGGGCTTACACTAGGCCCATCCTAAGTGGGCGCACTTGTGCGCCTGAGGTATATGGGTTCGTCACAGCACCGTTCAGCGGATCGTCTGACGAGGTGTAGCCTTTAAAATAAAATCTCGTTATTTTTTGCAAGCAGCACCTCGACACCTCATACTCCAATTTCTCCATGTAGTTACACAAATCAATGGAGGAGTGGCCAGGAACGGATCCAAACTGGTTTCTGTTGATCAGGCCCCATTTGGATGCATGGTGGAGTAGTTCTCTCTATTTGACTGCTAGAAGCAGGTGGTAGTCAGCCTCAATGGTTGATTTTGCATCCTCCCTCATCTTTTGGGACGAGTGTGTACACAGTTGTGTTCCAGCGCGTGTAAGCGAAGCCCTGCTCCAGAGTTGAGTAACTGAAAGTGGGCTTGCTTGAACTTTGCCTACGCTGTGCACAGCAATGTCCTGGCACTCGTCAGACTCCGGATCTAAGCTGTGCGTTCCAGATAAACAACAATGGGTGGCAAGTGTGGAACATGCTCGTGCTGCAGCAGCGGCAGATCAAGTGCAACCCTGGAAAGACCAAAGCTATGAGCGCAACCTGATGGAAAATTGGATCGTTCCGGGGCCACCCGCACCACCTCCCTAACCCCCCAAAAACAAACAAACAAATCGTCCCCCACAAACACACAGAAAAAATGTCCATGTCAAGCTGCATCCTTTTCTTATGCACAACAGACGGTTACCGGTCGTCCTCTAGAGAAAGCGATATCTATCTTCAGAACGTAATCCCCTCGTGATCTATGTAATTACTAGGTTAATAATCGCCAAACAGAACAATGCCGTACTTGGAAATTGTTTGAACAAAGTACTAATTTACTATTATGTAAATTGTAGGGGTTGACTGCTCTTAGAATCCAGCAGCCTGGTGGTCTGGCTAGATGCTTGGCTGTTGCGGGAAATCCTCCAGTGGCCGAATAAAGTCTTCAATTTCCTGGCCAGCATCAACTGGAACCAGCATATCTCGCACACGTTGCAAGGACACGCCAGTGATGGAGGATTCACAGTCATTGATCCCATAGGCAATGACTATTTCATTGGTATCAGCAAGAAATTCAATGCCTGAGATAAATTGAATGATATGAGCATCCATCATCCATCCATCTTCATTTGGAGCCTTGCCATTGCTGTCAACTGATGGCAAAACAAACTCAGGGGACAAGGCTGTCAAATGAAAGTCAGTACTGTTCATGGAATTTCGTCTTATGGTGTAGAAGAAATGTGTATAGTGATGTCCAAATTGAGCATAGATGCTAACACTGCAGTTTTGGGGACGGTGAAAATGTGCCACACCCAGGTACTCTGCAGGTCCCTTCTGTATTGAAGGCAAACGGACCATCATGCCATTAGTTCCGTGTGCTTTTGCAGCTTCCCAGGTATGCACGGTGCTGACTGTTGTTGAGTTTTGCATCTTCTCGTTGTTTTCCCCGAGGCGTCTTCCCTCTTGTTTTACATAATCAGATGGATGTGTTTTACCAATTGGGAGGACTGTAACTGGGCTTACCCAGGATACAGAAAACAGATTAGGTGAGGGCTCTCTCTTGGCTTGTTCTTTAGTATAGGAAACATCTGGATCAAACAAGATGGCCTGGTTTCGCCCCTTTCCCAATGTGACAGCCTCCGAAGCCCAAAGAGTGGCCCAAAATTTGCTGTGTGGGCTGTTCCCACGAACAAAGTCAAAATGGACAGCACTGAAGTGCTGATCAGTCCATCCCCAAGCACGGCTGATGAAGCTGATTTGCACCTGTCCTTGATAGACAAAGAGTCTGGGGTCATCAAGAATTGATATGATTTGTTCAAGTGGTGGATCGGATCTCATGCTTGGCTCATGCAATACCCACTCTTTTAGACCCCATGTATGATCAACCAGAACGCGTAGGGTGGCCTGAGCCACTGTTTGCATTTGGTCATCAAGCAAAAGGAGGAGTGTGCGTGCATTCTCATAGAGCTGAGGAGTCCCATTATAGACACACTGAGGAAACATCTTGTTGGTGACAGAAGCGAGGAAGGTTGTGTTTGGATGATGGTACAAGATGTTTGCCGCTACAAGGGGGGCCTCCTCTTTGAGCCTTGCAATGGACAAGACACTTGGATTGGTTCCATCCGAGGGATGAATATCTGAAGGTTGATCCTTTGGTGACCATTCAGTTCTATCAATACACAATTTGGTATGTTCGTATTGGGAAGAGCGCAATAACATGATGGGCCATTTTCCAAAGACATAGTTTGAGTCTTTCAAAAAAGAAGGAGAATTGGTTTGGTTTATGTTGTAATACCGAGTGGAATCATATGCACGAAATTCACACATCAAGCTCTTCTGGGCTTGCTGTTTCCATGTCGAATATTTGCCTTTTTTTCCCAGAATATCGCTAGATGCTGGCAAAATGAAAGTAGCTTTGGACAACTTTTCATTGGTGTTACTGCTGCTGTTGTACTCTTCATTCACATGTCCTCCTTGCGTCAAGGAAAGAAGCATATTTTGTAGCAGAGAACAGCATGCTAATAATGCAAAAACAAGCATAAGGAGTGTCCCAATTGACATCTTGTGTGGTAGAGTAGTCATTTGACAGAATAGATTAAAGCGCAAATGTGAGTTCCATCTATAGCACATGACTCAATATTTAGGACCAGAAAAATTACTTAAAACCAGAAAATTGCTTCCTTTTTTTAAAAAACCATGTTCTCTTTTTTCCGAACAACAAAAGCAATGAAAGGGTCCGGAATCACAATCTATGTGTATTCTGATTTATATTTGTGTTTCGAATTTATAGATGTATTTTGACTTTACATTTGTGTTGCGACTTTATATTTGTGTGACTTTATATTTCTGTTTTTCAGCTTGATTTAACTTTTCTTACATAGTAATTTGGCTTTGGAATCTAATCGAGCTCAGCAGATCTGCAACACTATATTCCTTCTGGCCTGTCCTAGGCACCACCTGTGCATATCCCACCACCGCACTTTCGTTGGCTCTGTGTCGAGCAGCACCACGCCTGGGGAGAATTCAATCTGCTTTTCTGCAGTGGACAAGCGACTGGAAAGGGTCAGCACTGAATCTTGGATAGCTTTGATGCCACTATTGATCTCTTCCAAGGTCACCTACATTGTCGAAAAAAAGGCAATGTAATTTGTGTTGAGCAGCAGCACGCCTGGGGAACCCCCCGTCCGAGTTTCCACGCCCCGCAGCGTGGCAAATTGGACCCTAATGGGTTCTCGCAACTATGACCCTAATCATGGTTGCCGAGAGGACCATCTCACAATTTGCAAAACTAATTCCCACGCTCCTCACCTACAACTCAAGTACATCTCTACATCTCGCAGGTCATCACCTGCGTTCCGGAATTGGATACCCCACATGATGATGCACCGCATCAGCTCCTCCATGCCTGTCGAACAAGATCACCCTTAAGACCACATTTGGCAAGATCGACAGCGGCAACCATGAATCACTAAAGCCAGCGACCTAGCCAAGACCAGCCATTGAACTGCCGATCGCAAGAAGGTTGTCTCTCTCAGCTCACAATTCTGCATTCAGCCGACGCTGAAAGCAAGAACCTAGATTAGATTAATCTCTTGCGCTCGCATCAGGTTTCGTATCTTTTCGACCCTCACCATCGCCAGCTCTAATTTTTCGGATCTCGTCTCTCATGCAGCGGCATGGGAGGTGCATGCTCCTAACTACGCTGATATCCTCACTGCTGTGGGTGGCGCCTTGAATGCAAATTGTGATGCTGCCTCTCGCGCCATGAGCCAATTTTGCCTTCGTTCACCGGTCACCTTTGGCTTCGTCCTCCAAAATGATGAAACAAAAATCAACATTGGACACTCACTCTACGCTTACCCCGTGAATCCGAGCCAAGCCTCTCCTTACGACAATCTCTACGCTATCGTGGTGGGGAACGATCTTCGAAGCGCTATCACGGTGGTCCTCTGCCTTCGAGTGCACGGCTGACATAGCCTCCCACAACATGACAATTATTGACGGAGGAACCATGTTTGCTGCCTTTCCCGCTCCTGTGCTACACAGTGGCCCCCACGGCGGTGGTGTCCCAGACACTGATGTCTTCCGCGTCCGTCGCGTGATGCCTCTTCCGTCCTATCTTTCTGAAGCCATCCTCGCGGCCCGTCCCGAGGGACAGTACAGTCTTCCCCAGTTCCGTGCGGAAGTTCTCACCCCTGAGATAACCCGCGCGGATCCTGCGCGACAAGCTGCCATCACCCCCTTGGTCCAATGGTTCCGCGCCTGTTGTACGTTGGTCGCGGGAGGTCATACGTTCACTAGTAATGCTGCCGCTAACGTGGCCGCACCCATTAGCGCAAACGCGCTCCAACGAAGCACCAACCGGGTTCTCCCCCTACCTGGCTGCGCTTGGCATGGTGGATCCGGGCTTGACCAATGCAACCTTCAATGCGGGAATCACGAACCTCCGTGATACGCTGGAGGCCACTGTTGAACAACAACTCCAGTATGACCGTGAGAAAAGCAACAAAACCTTCACGGATAAATTCGGGGCTGCCCTAGCCACTCGCGTCCACAACCTTTGTAACGTGGCCGATGATGCAAATCTTCCCGTCATTCACCGTCTGCTCGCGAAGTCCCCTAAGGGGAATGAACACGGGATCCTGCAAGCTCAACTAGACGAACGCACTCAGGCATCGGTGCTGCCCATTAACCTCGCCAACAAACCCCTGGTCACTGGACACATTCTGGATCGTGTCTTCCACAAGTACTTCGTGAACGGTCAAGGAACCACCTTGGGCGAAGGCCTCTCCCCCTTTTCAGTGGTGTGCCAAGGCCATTCGGAAGCTAAGGCAGTCCAGGACTTAGCTACTCGAGCAGAGTACGTTGAGAAGGGAGCCTCCGTCACCTTGGAAGATGCCATCGCCATCACTTCCACTGACGTCAAGTTTCCCACCAATGGTCGCATTGCGGAGGAGAAGCTCTATGGGTTCTCCATCATGATAGATGTCTTCCATGGAGGAAACCATCCAGTTTTGCGCTCGGTACGAGATGTGGCCCTCTCGCTGTGATCCTACCTCCACACCATCCATGGCCTACACGCTGACAATCGGAGTGTGGCGGTGGACTTGTGCGGTCGCATCCTTTTCGAGGTCCAACAAGATTACTTCTTGTGGGTCAATGAAGCTATCCTAAGTCCGGGCGCTGCTGCCCCCAACTTTGGAGCATTCACTAGACTCGTTCAGTAGACTCGTTTAGTCCTCCTGTGCCTCGTCTCTCGCTGAGCTCCCTGCTCACTGGTACTCGTTCTTCAAGCCCGCTCCCGAGCCGCCTAGCAAGAAGCCTGCCGGAGCAAACCAACAGCGAGCGGGAGCACACCCCGTTACCAACGTCCACGGCGATGAGGACCTCTTGAAGCGTTTCCAGGACTCTGGGTTCCGCTCCATCATTGAAATGACCAAGGACCACCAGTATACTATTCCCAAGCATGGTGGTCAAGACGTCTGTATGGCCTGGGCCCTCAAAGGCAGCTGCACCTCCGGATGCAAGCGCGCTGCTACCCACAAGCGCTACTCGGCGGCTACGGTGCAAAAGCTCCACACTCTCCTCACGGACTGTGGAGTTGCTGATCCGCAGCCCTGAGTCTCCACGCTTGGACTCGCCATTGGAGCTCCCGCTCCTATCTCGGTGGCGTCCATGCCTCGCAAGCAGTTTGGTCTCCGCCCTTTTGATCGCGATGTCTCTCCTGTGAAACCTCCAAGGACTAACAGGAGCACTCCTGCTCGCAAAACACCTTCACACGACGAATCTACCACTTCAATTCACGCCCTCTCACACGCAGCCTCGCTGTCAATGTCTTCATCATCAAAGCGGTTGACTGGCCTACTGCCCGGATCACCTAAGAAACGCCGACCGCCTTCATCCACTACATCAAACACCAATAAAACTACTAGCCCTGCCGTTGACACCAGATCAATCCGAAATGACAGACTAGGTATGTTAGTCCAAAACCTTTGCTCGGCCTACTCGAAGGCAGAGACGTGGGAATCCTTTGTCACCGACTTCAGAGGGCGCTCCTACCTTGCTCCGAACTTGGAGGATGTCGACCATCCTGCCATCCCCTTGCTCTGCCACTGGAGAGACCATGGGGTCCCCGTACAAAACGAATCACCTCCCTGGACGATGGAACAGAAGGAGGAATGCATCCGCCGCGGCTGCCACAAATCTGCTACCAAGCATTCCGACTTCCTCCATGAAGAATTTTCCGAGTTCATTGAGAACAAGTTCTGGGCTGTCCTTCCATTCGACCTCGTCAAGGACGAACCCTCCCTCCTTCTATCTGCCGCTGCGGTCAAGGTGGAACGAGACCGCAAACCCCGACTCATCAGCGACCACACCTGGAACTGGGGTTGGCCCTCCATCAACGAAACCACATCACATCACATCACGCGCCGCCCGAGGCCATGCAATTTGGAAATGCCCTGCCGCGCATCCTGTACGATGTGCGTCACGCAAACCCCAAGTTTGGGCCCGTCCGCCTCTGCAAGCATGACATCAAGGACGGCTTCTACCGCATGTTCCTGAACCCTTCCGACTGCATCCGACTCGCGCTGGTGCTGCCTCGCTATGAAGGTGAGCCCCAACTGGTGGCCGTCCCGATGTCATGCACCATGGGATGGGTCGAGTCGCCGCCTACCTTCAGTGGCATGTCGGAGACTACCTGCGACCGAGCAAATGAATGCTTCCTGAAGTCCCCCAGAGCCTGTCCTCCGCACAGACTTGAGCATCATGCCGAGGAAATGGATGACCTGGACCCGTCCACGACTCCTAGACCACGAGAAAAGGAGGACCATGCGGCAACACAAGAACTCCTTGGGATAGCCACCTCCCCCTTGGAGGCCGAACCGGAGCACTTCGCGGGACCCTCGAACCGAATTCTGCTACAGCCCATCGGGCGGAATGATGTGTTCGTTGATGACTTCATCCAGCTGGGCCAAGGAGGAAAGACCCGTATGAAAGCGCTACGCAGGCACTTACTCCATGCCATTGACGAGATCCTCGCTCGCCCCAACCTCAGTGAGAAACACCGAAATGAGGCAGTCTCCCTCAAGAAGCTCCTGCAAGGAGATGGAAGCTGGGCTACTCGAAAACTCATTCTGGGATGGATCATCGACACCCTACGACAGACTCTGGAACTTCCTCCCCACTGGAAGTAAGCGCTCGCTGACATCTTCAAGGAACTAGCCGGGTGTTGCAGAGTCAGCCACAAGAGTTGGATGCAAATCCTCGGCAAACTGCGCTTCGTCTCTGTTGCCATCCGGGGCTCCGCTGGACTCTTCAGCGCGCTCCAGCTCGCCCTCACGAAGTCCAAAGGAGGAAGAATCCGGATCAATGCTGCGTTGAGATCCCACATCGATGCCTTTGCTGATTTGGCTGCCAGCCTCTGTCACCGCCCAACTCACCTGGCTGAGATCGCCCCCCAGGACCCATCCTTCTTCGGAGCCGCTGACGCCACCAAGGCTGGAATGGGTGGTGTCTACTTTGACTCCGAGGAAACTCCCTACCTATGGAGGTTCCCGTTCCCTCCCGATGTGCAGGCTCAGCTCGTGTCCACGGACAACCCGACGGGAACCGTCACCAACAGTGACCTCGAGCAAGCAGCCATCCTCGCGCAGCACTCCTTGCAAGTGGCGCGGCACTGTGTCACCTACGCCACCCTCTACACTCTCTCGGACAACACCCCGGCCGTCCCCAGAGTCTCCAAAGGGGCGGTCACCTCAGATGGCCCTGCGGCGTTCCTCTGCAACTACGCCTGCTGACACCAGCGAGAGCACCGCTACTGCGCCCTCTCGTCCTACATCCCGGGTCCTGCCAATGTGATGGCTGATGATGTGTCGCGTCTGTAACACCTCACCCTGCTTGAACTTCTTGCCCACTTTGAACAGCGCTATCCGCAGAACAAACCCTGGCAGGTGTTGACTCTGCCACCCGAGGTCAGTTCACTGTTGATCTCCGCCTTGCGCTGCAGACCGCTTCCAAAACCATTGTCTCCAAGATGGCCGCCGCCCGCGACCGAACCTTCGGACGACGGTGTGACTTCTGCGCAGGCCTCGGCGTCAACCCATCCCTCTGTGATATCCCTGACCAAGAGATCCAAGCCTGCTACCTCCTCGTCTTCGGAAACCGTTACCGCAAGTCTAACAATGTCCGAGCTGACTCAGTGGACAAGGCCCTTCTTGCCATCGGGAAGGTGATCACCGACCTGGGTCACCCAGATCCCAGAAAGCTCAAAGCTGGATCCGACCACAACCATCCAATACTCGCTGCTTTTCCTCAAAGGACTCAGGGATGAAGATGGACCCCCTGACCGAGCCTACCCCGTCAACCTCTCCATCCTCCGAGCTATGCTCGATGCCCTGGACTACGACGACGCCACCTGGGGAACCCTCAACCGCCACGTCCGCGACCTCTGCATCCTGGCCTTCTTCTGGCTTCTGCGCCCTGCGGAGTACCTGGACACCGGGAACCCTGAATCCCGAAGCCAAGCCTTTCGCCTCTGTGATGTCTCCTTCACTGTCCGCGGCGGCCTCCAAGTCCGCGGGCTTACACTAGGCCCATCCTAAGTGGGCGCCCTCGTGTGCCTGAGGAATATGTGTTCGTCACGGCACCGTTCAGCGGATCGTCTGACGAGGTGTGGCCTTTAAAATAAAATTTCGTTATATGTTTTTTTCATCTCACTAATACACCAGTAGACTCCGTCTATTCCAGTGTGGTTTCGTTACGTGGGATTCGTATCCTCACATTCCTCGCATGGGCAACAGACATCGGAAACGCCTACTTGGAATCATCTATGAAAGAGAAGGGCACCCACCGAAAGTACCATTTGCGTCATTGTCATTGTTAAATCCAAACTATAGTGCTGATATCGCTACCTTAGTGACAGATTGTTGTTGCCATTTCCCAATACCCATGTTGTTGTTGTTGTTGTTGTTGTTGTTGTCTCATCAGGTGTGGCTTCCATGAAGATAGAAAGCATTGCCAAATGCGGGTAGCTCCAAATCTAGTCAGTGCTCATCCATATTCTCATGAGGTTCAGGACGACTACCACCACCGTCATCACCACCTTCGCTTGCATCACTGTTGTCGTCATCAGAATCCTCAGCACGAGTGGGGGAACCAAATCTATTCATGGCACCAGCACTGTGCTTCTTGGCAATCCGCTTGACTCCAACAAGCTCCACAGTGAGAACAAACACACTCTGGTGAGCTCCCTCCATCAACTGTGTCAACTCATCATTCTCAAACTCAAAGGTTTCAAGCTTCCAACGACGGATCTGACTCTCCACTTCAAAAGGAAGTTGCACAACCTGAGCATTGTCAGCAACAATGGGATCTTCGCGCTCCAACTTGTCGGTGACCTCCCCTGCAGACTTGTTGAATGCAACCATCTTGGCACTCCTATTGTTGAACTTCCTGTCGCGTTGCCTGTTGGACATCTTCACACGGCCAGTTCCAACGAACAATTCTGGAATAATGGTAGACAACCGAAACTGGTTGCCACCTTCAGCAACAGATGGACGATAGAAGCTCTCCGGCAAAGGAAGAACAATAAAGTCAAGGGTGATATGATGCTCATTGCCGGCCATCCAAGTGTACATGAGCCAAGGAAACCAAATCTCCATGCAGTTGGTGGATGTATCGGTTGTCATCTTCTTGATTTTGCTTGCAATAAAGGTGGTGGTACTGTCGTCCTGGGGGTTGTCGTCCGCTGGCTCTTCCACTACCGGTGCTGGTGCTGGTTCCGATGGTTCCTCGTCCGAGTCGTCACCTGCTGACATGAGCGAGTGTGAGAGTGGCAACAACAACAACAACAACAACAACAACAACAACACTAGCTACCGACCTTTGGCAGCTGGTTTTCTCTCGTCGTCCTCTGGAGGAGGTTTTGCAGCAGCTCCCTTTCGACGACCGCCTGAAAGAGTCTGGTTGAGTTGAAATTCCCTAGCTTTGCGGCGGTAGGTCTGATAGAATCCAGACTCCTTTCCAATCTTGAATGGGAAGTGCTCTCTGATGACCTGGTCAATGTAGTTGTTGGAAAGGTCTGTAGAGCTGACACCACCGTTCTTCTTTCATCGCTTGAATAGCTCCTCTAGCTGTGTGTCATGGAGCTTGTTCCAAGTTTTACCTTTAACTTTCTTTTTCTTGTCCATTGTGAGAGTTCCTATCAATCGACTGCAAACTGCAAATGAGAAGAGGCACTCTTGCACTCTTCCTTTAAAAGCTTGACTGAGGCGCGGCAGAGAGGAGTGGTGTATGTGTGATGTCGCTATAGAAGATCCTCATCATGGTTACGACATAGACGGTTGGCGCCATGAATAAAGTGATACCCATGCATGGAACCAAAATGTGAGCTTAGACTTAAATCTAGTGCACGCGCTGAAATAACGTACTTGAACTGAAATGACATAGTTACTATGTGATTTCAGCCGGCATCGCGTGAAAACATGTGGTTGACTATGCGATTTCAGTCGGCCGGCTGAAATTACATAGGGCGACTTAAATCGCATACCGACGCTGAAATTTGTTGGGAACAATCCAACACACGGGACAACCGCCGAGTTGTGCTCCTCTTTTGGTCATGCACATGGGAGTAATAGGGGAGCCTCCAATGTGTGTTGTCAGCTGCGCACAACTGTTCGATCAGGCTGCACATGCACCACTTCACTTGCCACACATCACTTTCGAACCTCATTCTACTAGCTACCGGTACTACTAGCTAGTCAATGGCCAAATTCTTCATCTAGTAGTAGCCAAATTCCTCGACCATGAGCTCGGGAGACCACCGAAAGCGCTACAGAGCAGAACCGCCTGATGCTGAGTTTGCCCTCCAGAAAGCACGCGAGATTTGGAGTCGTGACACCCGAAGACCAAGAGCTGTGGCTACGGAAGATGAAGATTTTCGTGGTTTTTTGTTTTTTTGGCTGTGGTGTGCTGGTCTTCCTTTCTCTTTGGACTCTACTTGAACGTTTCGATCAGATCCCACCTGGTGGAGAAGTCTGTCTACGACAGAGCGGATCTGATCCCAGCGGAGCTGGTGGATTTTATCTTCAAGCGACCGCTTGACGAGCAAATGGCAAAGGGCCCAGGCGACATCAAAGCGTGGCTTGCCAATTGGCTGCCCGTCGTCGACAAGGCACTTAGGGACGAGCATGCACGCACAGTGCAGACCAATGACACAGGGTAACTATGCACAAAGGGGGTCTTCCCGTAGAAATAGATGGCAATCCAGCCAAGGGTAGCTAGTTAGTCGTACAGCACCCTCCGGAGTTTTGTTCATTTTCTCCGGTGGGGGGCTTACACTAGGCCCATCCTAAGTGGGCGCACTCATGCGCCTGAGGTATATGGGTTCGTCACGGCACCGTTAAGCGGATCGTCTGACGAGGTGTAGCCTTTAAAATAAAATTTCGTTATTTTTTTTGTTGGTGGAGAAGTCTGTCATCTCATGTGGACGCTCATGTTTCTCAAAATCTATGCTCGAAATACTGTCTTGTCTTCTTTGGCTGGTGGTGTTGACCCGGATACCTACATGAAGTGGGTGTGGCTCTTCCTCGATGGCATCGTTTATCTGGAGTGCCATGTGGTAAGTCTCACTATCACTTGTCGACTAACTCTATTATCTCGACTAACTCTATTATCTCTGTTGTCTTCAGATTATTTGGGAGAATCAACTCAAGCTTGACAGAGGCAATGATTGTCTCACTAGCGTGGACTGCACTGATTGTCGGATTCCCAACCATGGACCGGATTTTGCTTCCCACAAATTCAACAAAAGTGGTTTGCGATATGAGATCGCTCTTTGCATTTTGACCGGTGATGTTGTTTGGCTGAATGGTCCTTTCGAGTGTGGAAAATGGCCCGACATCAGCATCTTTCAATCTGCTCTTTTGGGTATGCTGGCTGACAATGAACGTGTGGAGGCAGACGATGGCTATGTCGGTGATCACCCAATGTACATCAAATGCCCAGCTGGATTCGCCAATCCGGAGGAGACTCTCTTCATGCGGCAGAGTACATCAAATGCCCAGCTGGATTCGCCAATCCGGAGGAGACTCTCTTCATGCGGCAGAGAGTTCGAAACAGGCAGGAAACAATCAACGAGCGAGTGAAGAATTGGAAGGCCATGGATGGTATGTGGAGACACGAGATCACCCGCCATGGGGATGCCTTCCGTGCCATTCTCATTGTCAGCCAGCTAGCAATCAACAGCGGAGAGCGGTTGTTCCATGTGGCTACCGCGATCCACCCTACCATGGACCTGGAGGCGAAATGGACCTTGACGACGATGGCCTCTGATGGTTGGCCGGAGCGGGCTGGTAAGTGGTACTCTGCTGCTCTGCTTGTACTAGCCAACACGAACATTGTTACTCACTTGTTGTTGCTTCTTGCTTGCTTTGCTCCAACCCTTGTTAGATAGGATAAAACTGGTTAGTAGTGGCACGTTTAGGCAGCACGTCTTAGCTAGCTAGAATGAATGGCAACAATCAACCTATCATATCTGAAATCCTGTAGTGCAGTGTAGATTCCAGCAAGCTAGGTGACACAAATGGTTGTTTCGGTGGGCGCCAAGGTGTACGTTGTTGCAGGGCCCGTGTTTGGAGATCGAGAAGGATGCACCCTCATCATCAGCCGTGCCCTATACGGACTCAAGTCTTCTGGATTACGATGGCATGAAAGATTTGCAGATGTTCTCCGTTCGATGGGATTCTTTCCTTCGAAAGCTGAATCAGACATCTGGATGCGAGTGCACTACGCTAAAAGCTAGTGTAAAGATCTTTCGAGTGTTTTGGTGTTTGAGAGAATGAAAGTTCTGAGAGAGATTAGAAAGCTATGAAAACTAATCAACGAGAGAGATCACCATCAAAGGATCGTAGATCTGGTCTCCCGCGGGAGGCCTCGAAGTGTGATATTGTAGGTTATGGCAATAACTCTACGTACTCCACGGTCCATTTCCGGAACACGTGGAAACTTCAGCTAGTAGCTGTCTAGTAGCGTGGAAGCTTTCCACGCCGGCTAAATATCTAGAGCGATGTTTCATCAACAACCTAGTATGACTAGCAGTCATGAGAACCCTGTCTCAATGACTATTCGCGAAGGGCTACGTCATGAGTCGAACTCAAACCCTATCTAGGATCGAGTCGCGAATAAGGCTAAGAGCCGTGTATTGCATTCGCCCCCTGACAAGGGTCACAGAAGGCACGACATCAGTCGGACAAGGAGAACATATGACTTAAAGTGTGGGGCACTCTCCGGAGATTGGATGTAGACATGTGCGTCGCACGATGGCAATCCTACAAGGGGATCAGGCCTTGTATGGGTGTAAATACCTTATGTTCCAAGTCTGGTAGACTGTGCCGCCATTGGCGGTAGCATGTTGGAGCCGTACAGTGCCATTGTTATTGACTCGGTCTATATTGTAAGGACCTTTGTACTTTGGCTGACCGTACTTGCGGTGCTGATACTGTTGAAACCTCACAGTATCGTTGACATTGTATTGATGAGGGACACGCGTCGCGTTTTCCTTATCATTGTTTTTCTGGATGAGTCGTTGGCGACGTTCTTTGATGTGTTTCCAGTTTACTTCGAAACGGACGTTGTGAATCGCGTCACGATTGAACACGTGGGGTAATGAACTTGCGACGAAGTCCATATTCATCCCGGAGAGTCTTCTCGACTTCTGCGCGGAACTCACGTTCTCTATCCATGATAACCTCAGAAGGCCATGGATACTGGGTGAGCCACGTCTGTTCGAGAACGATGGCTATTTCGTCTGCTGCATTGGAGCAGATCTCGGTAATCTTGAACCATTCGGTTACGGGATCAATTATTGTCAAGCAATGAAATGGACAGGGATTCCTTTTCTTGGGATCCTCGACGTTGTATGTACATGTGATCGTCTGATCCATATGTCTCGATAGTAGTTCACTAGTCCAATGAATCTACCAAGTTTCTTCCTATTCGTAGGAGGAGCGATATTCTGGATCGCATCTATTTTCTTGGTTACGGGTTGGATTCCTTCTCAAGTAATCCAGTAGCCTAGATACTCAAGTTCTCTTCTTTCGAAGAAGGACTTGGTAGCATTGATCTCAAGTCCGGCTTCTCGAAGCCTTTAGGATAACTTCATCTAACTATTCAACGTGATCCACTAGATCGCCGTTAGGTAGGATGAGTTGATCATCAATGTATGCACGGACATTTTCCTTTGGAAGATGTTGGGACTATTGCATAGGCCCATCGGTACTCGCTGGTACTCGTATTTCCTGAATCCGTCTAGATTCAGTAGCATGTCATGTATCCTTGAGATCGGACAAGGTTTTTGCTCAATCCTTTTGTTCAGTTCCCGGACGTCAGAGATGAACCGTATAGATCCATTCTTTTTGGGAATGATAAATGTTGATGCCCTCCACTCGGAACGGTTTACCTTCTTAAGTGCTCCTGCGTCGCAGAGACGTTCGACCTCTGTCTTAAGAGTGTTGGTATGGACACGTGGAGTAGGATAAGCCCTAGCGTGATAGGGTTTAGCGTCAGGACGAAGTTCTACTTCGTAGTCGTCCATTTGTCGCTTTCCTAAAGTACCTTCGAATTGGTCGGAGCACTTGGTCAATAAGGCATGAAGCGGTTCCTGCTCTTCCTTATTTACCTGGTTTTGACTCTGGCATATCTGCCTTAAGTCAGGTCGTTCGTATTTCGCGTCAAGAGTCCTCTTGAGACGATCTGCACTGTCGCTGACAGCTGTAGGATCAGGGATGAAGAAGTTCCTTTCTTCGTTGGTATTGCTATCTTTCATAGGGAAAGATGTGCTATTCCACTTCACTGACATGGTAGTGAAATCGAACTTGATTCTTAGATCGGAGAGAATGTCTCGACCTATGATCATGTCATACGCCCCCAAGTTCTTGGTGGCGTGCAAGTTCCATTCGATAATTCTATCATCGTGGTACTCAGGAGTCATAAGTGCACCCTTACACTTCGTGCTGGGGTATAATTCCTTTACAGGGGTAGTCCATAGTGTTTGGACGCCCCCATGATCCTTCATGCTTAATCTCTTAGCATGAATTTGGGTAATCAAGGTTCCGGATGCTCCTGTATCCAGTAAGCAACGGAGTGTAACGGGTTTTTGTTTCCCTTTTTCTCGTCTGTTAAATCTAACATAGACGATAGTTTTGAGGTCTCTTGTCGAGCAGCCGCACGCAAAAGAGGACAACGATCCTGATCCCTATCTGTCCACGCTGCCTGGCGTGGAAACCTGAACCCTCATGGGTTCTTCGACGAATGACTCGACTCACAGTTGCCAAACCCTTTACCATCTCACAAAACACGAAATCGATTCCCACACTTCGCTCTACTCATCAAGTACATCTCTACATCTCCAGGTCATCACCTGCGTTCCTGAAATGGATACCCCACATACATGTCGCTATGTCCGCCTCCTTCGCAAGAATCAGCTCTAAGGCAATAGCACCCCCGAAGACCGCTCACAGATGGCAACCTTGAATGAACACAACATGCAAGACCGGTCCAACTCTCTCTTTCAGCCAGTTGAACAGTCGATCCAAGAAGGTTGTCTCCTTCCTGCTCACAATTCTTCCTTCAGCCGAGCTGCAAGCAAGAACTAGAATAGATTAACCTCTTGCGTCGGCATCAGGGTCTAAATCTCTTCGAAAATCCTCGACCATGGCCGCCGCTTTATTCTCTACTCTCGTTGACCGCGGAAATCACTGGGACGCTCCCGAGTTTGACTATGCCGCTCTTCTGACCCGTGTCGGTGGTAACGTGACACGAACAGTACGTAACTCAAACTACCTTGTGCTCTGCTGTCACGCGTCTCCTCTTCTCGTCGCTTTCGTTCTCACGGTGATGAAGACTACATCCATGTCGGGCATTCTTTGTTCACATACCCGCTGACTTCGAACGCGCCTCTCCTTACGACAACCTCGCTGTTGTGCTACCGGAAACGACCTTCACAGTGTCGCTCCCGTGATACTTCCAAACACCAGTTTCCAACGTGTCGCCGAGACACGCTGCA